CACCCCACCCCCATACCACCACCCCATCAAATTCCACCAAAGCAACACCAGAAGATAACCAACAGGGATGTAAACAGGCTTTGAAAAAACAAGCCGGAAAATATACGACGCGCCTGCTCTGACTGAAATAAGAATATAGTGAGACTATTTATTTATTTTTAATTTTTTATTGTAGAGGGTTTTACGGCGCTCGCAACTGCATAAGGTCGTATGAGTGCCATAGAGAGACTATATTATATTTGTTTCTTTCCCTCTATTACAACAAATAATTTCTATTTAGTATATAACATATATTGTTTATAGTAGACTTTGGTTAAAAGCTGGGGCCCAAATGGCAAGTCGGCTGAAAAAGCAACAGAAAAAGCCGCAAGATTTACATCCCTGAACCTAACACTTACTTGCGCTGCTGTCTCTCCTGCCGTTTGGCGAGCAGTCTCTCCTGCGTCTGCTGCAGTTCTCTCCTTGCTACGATAGCGTGCTCACGGTCACCCCTTGTCTCCAGAGATTCAATTTCTGCTGTCAGTTTGTCCGACTCCTCCCTCAGCAACTGAATAGTGGCGTAGATGTCACTTTCTTCTCCCTCCTGGATGATTTAGAAGGAGATATTAAACACAGTCAGTCATCAGTTGTGGTGAGTTAGTTTTTTAAATAGTTTTAGTAAGAGTTTTACGGCACTTGCAACGCAATAATGTCGTACAAGTGCCGAAGATTAGAAGTGTTACAAGAGAGTAACAAACACAAAAAAGGAGGAGAGAGAAGGACGATAGATGTTTGATAGGAAAGAAGGAGCAAACAACATCAGTGCACCCGCCAACCACCCCCTCAGTCATGGTGAAAATGAATACGAGCCTCGACTACAATCCATGCTGTTTCTGTTTCTGACTTTCAGTAAGTTGTTCCTGTTGGGATTTTTTTGTTAACATTGGTGGTTGTGTGGGGAGCGCGGTTATGAGGTGTGTTCCAAAAGTGAGGTTACCTGTTCTGTAAATTTAACAATTTTGAACTTATAGTCATGAAGATTTTTTCCGTTTTAGAAGAGATTTTACGGCGCTCGCAACTGCATAAGGTCATATGAGCGCCAGAAGATTAGAGTTGTTAAAAGAGAGTAACAAACCTAAAAGAGAAGGAGGGGAGATAAGTACGATAGATGTCTGATAAGAAAGAATTTTTGTTTCAGTAAGTGGTTCTACGGCGCTCGCAACTGCATGAGGTCATATGAGCGCGCGGGACACCTAATATTTTCAGTTGGTAGGAAATTTTGAATTTTGCCCTGGTGGCGGCCGAAGCCTACTCTAATCGATTTTAGACCACCAAGGGATCATTAACGTGCGCAACTTGCACACAGGCCCTACGAGATTTTTCGCCCTTGTCCGAGAAGGCTAGGTGTAGATCTTTCCTACCAGAAGATCAGGGGTGTGGCAGAAAGACAGCAGTTAGAAGGAGCCAAGGAGTAGCAGTAGAAAGGCTGCAGAAAGAGTCAGGAGCCCAGGGGAGGGGGCAAAGGAGGTGAGGGGGTGGGGGCAGAAAATGGAAATGAAATCAGACAACAGAACATTGCTAGAGAGCAGGAAAGGAGGTGAAAGGAGACAATTTTAGAGAAGAAAATTTTTCGGTCGCTACCCGGATTCAAACCCGGGACCTTTGAATGAGAGGCCAACACCTTAACCTCTAGGCCACGAGAGCCCCCCATATAAGAAAGAAGAAGCAAACCACACCAGAGCACCCACCAATCACATACCATGAAATTTTGTACACATCCACACAAGTATGTTTTCTATTCAACTTAAAGAGCAAAAACTCTAAAAATCGCGAGGAGAATGCCACAACCAAGTTAAAAACAAAGCAGGTCACGGGCGTCACGTTCCAGTGTTTTTTTGTTCTTTTAGAAGGCATTTTACAGCAGGTGCAACCCAACTAGGTCACATAAGTGCCACAGATTAGAGCTGTTACAGTAGGGTAACAAACACAGAAAAGAAGGAGGAAAGATAAGGACGTTAGGCATGATGGACAGAAGGAGCAAACCACATCAGAGCACCTGCCAACCACCCACATGCTCCAGTGCACTACCCCTGAACATGTTTTAGTTTTAGTAAGCGTTTTACAGCACTTGCAACACAATATGGTTACATAAGTGCCGAATATTAGAGGTGTTACAAGAGAGTAACACACACAAAAAAAAGGAGGAGAGATACGGACGATAGATGTTTGATAGGAAAGAAAAAGCAAACCACACCAGAGCACCCGCCAACCACCCACCCCTGAACATGACAATGGCAACATTCCGTCAGGAGCAGATAGGGACAATAGTAACAGAGACACAAAAGAAGATGAAGCAAACCACACCTGAGCACCCGCCAACCCCACTGCGAGCCACAGAAGCCACACTCACCTTCGGGTTTCTCATTTCTATGAAGACCAGAACCGAGGCAAGCTCCAGTTTCTCCCCAAAGCCATTGCACAGTTGGATGGCCCGGTAGCCTGAAACACAGTAACAACATTAAAGAGTTTCTTAGATTCTCACCACATTCAGAACACACTGGTGGCATAAGAGTTTCTCAGCTTCTCACTACATTCAGAACACACTGGTGGCATAACAGTTTCTCAGCTTCACTGGTGGCATAAGAGTTTCTCAGCCTCTCACAACATTCAGAACACACTGGTGGCATAAGAGTTTCTCAGCTTCTCACAACATTCAGTACACACTGGTGGCATAAGAGTTTCTCAGCTTCTCACTACATTCAGAACACAGCAACAACATAAGAGTTTCTCAGCTTCTCACAACATTCAGAACACACTGGTGGCATAAGAGTTTCTCAGCTTCTCACAACATTCAGAACACACTGGTGGCATAAGAGTTTCTCAGCTTCTCACAACATTCAGAACACAGCAACAACATAAGAGTTTCTCAGCTTCTCACTACATTCAGAACACACTGGTGGCATAAACGTACAAAAAAAAAGGATAAAAGGAGAAGAACTTTATTATACACATGCAATATTTTCCCTGAAGCAGCTGAAAAAAAAATGTAAGCGGGAAAGTGACCTTGAAAGTCAAGAGCGAAGCCATGAAAAGGTTTAACCTATCAATCTTATGTTTTTTGTTTTTTTTAGGAGAGGTTTTACAGCGCTCGCAACTGCATACGGTCATATGAGCGGCAGAGGATTAGAGGTGTTACAAGAGAGTAACAAACATAAAAAACAAGAAGGGGAGATAAGGACGATAGATGTTTGATAGGAAAGAAGAAGCAAACCACACCATGTCACCCGCCAACCACCCACGATCAAGGGTTTGCTACTGTGTAAGCAGGGTGATCATATGAAAAAATGTTACAGGAACGAAATCTGACAGATTGAAAGTGTTCAGTAAGATTTTCTTCAAACAATAATGACATGGGTGAAAACCTGTCCCCACTGTTTTATGCAAATAAAATATCCTGAAATTATGCCAACTGAGACCAAAAAGGTGAAATTATGCGATTCTGTTAATTTTAACAAAGAATGAGAACGGAAAATAATAAGAAATTATGCAAAAAATGATCAAATATTGATAAATTATGCAGGGTGCATAAAACCCTGGGGACAGGAAAACTGACAGAGCATGTTCAAAAGATGGCAACAGAACACCTTGTTCCCCAGTTACCAGCCTCCTTCTTCCTGCGGGTGATTGAAGAGCACCCCTAGTAAGCCATATTTTCTACTTTCCTGTTGTTTTTATTCTGTCTGTGTGTCTTTTTTCTCCGCAGGCACTGAAAGACCTTTATTGCTTCCATACACTTCTTCACTTTCCTCAAACTCCCTCGTACCTGGTTTGATGCACTGCACAGGGTAGGTGGCCTGACCAAGGAAGTTGGGTTCCCCAAAGATGTCCTCTTCCATGACAGCAAAGCGAACCAAGGCCAGCTCTGGGCACAGGATGTCAAAGACCATTGTCTCACCCCAGACAGGGTTCAGACCATTGTCCACTGAGTAAAGGAAAACAAAACATGGGACAGACTGTTATGCGGCACTTATATGGCTTAATGGTGCAGCAAATGCTGTAACATTTCTTACTAAAACAAAACAGAACAGTTACATTTTCTTATTTGGTGCAGTAAATCCTCTCTTGTTCACTGGTCTAACTTCCATTTCACGGCTAAAGAGCTGACTTATTCCAAATAATCATTATTCTTTAAATTTCCATTATCTTTCACTAAAAGAAATCACAATCAAACTGCTGGGAAAATACTCAAATTTCAATCTTGTCAAAAAAATGTATTGAATGGTCGCTTTTAAACACAAGGGGGCCATCCTGCAAAATGCTGTTTTGAGAAAATCGAAGGTAAAGTTTTTGCCCCTTGTTCAGTTTCTCTAAAAGACAAGGAGAGTTTTCTTTATAAACAAACAAATATACACACCAATGAAACCAAACTTCTCCTATATGTAGGGCAACGCCCACTTTTGGTGTAGGTGAAGATTTCTGGAAACCCCCGAAATCTCGGTTAGCCCGCTTGTCTTTAAAAGCAACCAAATAGTTGCTTTGAAACTTATTACAAAAATATTATTATTATTATTATTATTATTATTACAAAACTGAACTATGTCACATGAGTGAAACTCATCAGAAAACTGTCCAGAGACTTACCTTGCGGTGTGGTCTTGAACTTTTGATTGTCACACTCCATCCCTGTAATCTCAATGTCCACGAAGGGACTGGCAATGCCCCGACCTTGTTTGACCAGATGGCGGGCAGCTAAAATCTGAAGACAACAGAATATGATTGCAATTTTAAAAAACCAAAACAACTCCACATTTGTAAAGGAAATGCGGGGTTATCAAAACCATCTTGGTGCTTGCGACTTGTTAGAATCTTAACCGAATCCCCCCCCCCCCCTACAAAGTGGAGGACGTATAAGATAATTCATTGTAATTTGACAGTAAATGTTTTACGCCCCTATCGACATAAATTTAGATCCCCCATGAGGTGGGTAGCTCCGAACCTGCCTGTCAAAGCCAACTTGTTCGTTTTTTGTTTGTTTTAGTAGAGGTTTTACGGCGCTCACAACTGCATTAGATCACATGAGCGCCAGAAGATTAGAGGTGTTACAAGAGAGTAACAAACATAAAAAAGAAGAAGGGGAGATAAGGACGATAAATATTTGATAGGAAAGAAGAAGCAAAGAATGTGTACAGGTAAACTTTGAGGTAAATAAGTCTTTGGCCAGCTGCATTATTGAAAGATGTACTAAGCTATATGTTAAAAACTAATTTAAAGGTATGCACAAAGTCTTTAAAGCTATACTGAAAGAGCAGCATTTCCCGAAGAATTTATGGCATTCTCTCCAAAGCAATAAAATGGGAAGTGCTCCAAAACTTTTCTGCTCACTTCAATTTAAGACAAAAACAGCAGGGGAACAACTGAAGGAAGCCAAAGTACCCCTGAGATAAAGCAAAGCAACTGGAAAAAATAAAAAACCCAATAGTAAACAAAATAGAGCCAGCAGTGGCGCCCTGAAACTACCAACCCCCCCCCCCCCCCATCTTCTAAATTACTGAAGTTACAAAAATTCTAAACTATTTCAAATTTACACTTTAAGTAACAAAGTTCAATACCCCTTCACTATTGGCCATACCAGAAAGACAAGTCCCCAGCCCCCAAATTGGGATTTGATACGACGCCGAGGTCCAGGGTTAAAGGATTAACCCTTCCAGCCCCAGCCATTTTGGTGCACGCCCTAACCCCAGTCCCAGACAATACAGCAGTATTTCAGAAAAAGAGGCGTGCATTCTGAAAAAAGTGATGCCGTATCTTTGTTATGAGTTTTAGATAATGGCATATGACAACATTTAAAGGAAAATGAACAAATATTATGAAAATAAAGTTTAAGTAGGTTCGCTAATTTAGAAAAATGCACAAATTCAGTGCTCCCCGAAACTGAGAATATATGCTCTTGGGACGGTGGGAGGTACAAGCGCTGCTGAAAATATATGCGCATGGGGCTGAAAGGGGTAGCAATATAAATAATAACAAAAGAAGCAGAGCACAAAAAAGTGGTCCCCAACGACCGCCTTCACTTACACTGATGGTCAGCGTGAGGGGCTCCACATTCAGCGAGGACAGGAACTTCTTCTCATACGGGTTATACTGCTCTCCCCTCATCACATCTGGCTGGAGCACATACCCGCACCTGGAAGAAAAAAAGAGGAAGATTCAAAAGACCCTTTTATTCATACTAACTTTTAAATGTTTAAGTAAAGGTTTCACGGCGCTTGCAGCTGCATAAGGTCATATGAGTGCCAGAAGATTAGAGGTGTTATAAGAGAGTAACAAACATGAAAAAGAAGGAGGGGAGATAAGAACGATAGATGTTTCATAGGAAAGAAGAAGCAAACCACACCAGAGCACCCGCCAACCACCCACTCATACTAACTGAATTTTTAAAAAATGACATAGCAAGTATATAAATTTACAGTAAAAAACAACAGATCACAATCACACAAAAAACTGTAGACCATATGACAAATATCCCTTATTTGTGGATGCAGGGTTGTGAAGAGTTCAACTGAGATATAGGGCAATATTGGAAGACAATCCGTTTTTCCCTAAAATAAAACAATCTCATAAATCATTATGGTGACCATTCATCTATCAGCACCCACACTATTTTATAATGCGAGTGTCAAATGGTATATATTAATGCAACTAACGGCCATTCCTAAATTATACAACCCTACAAAATGTGTCAAAATAAGATGCATCCACAGTCAACTTTGATTGATCATATTCCTTATCTAAAAAATTTTTCATTTTATTGCATATCAACCATTTTGTAAGTAAATTCCACCTTGATCAGAAAGAACATTGCAAGAATATTACTTAGCGCAAGTAACTTATTGGTAAGTGAATGAAAGAAAAAATGTGTACATTTATAAGTTGAAAGAACTTTTTTGTCCCTACTACCACAAAGGAGACCACCACAATAGCAGCAGAAGAAAAGTCTTTGCGGTTCCTGTTCATCAATATCATTCCTCCTATTCGTGACATTTCCTACCTTCCGTTCATGAGAAAGCGACCTTGGTTTAGCTGCATAGCTCGATCTGGCGTTTGGTAGTTCAAGGCCAGCATCTGGCAGCCACAGTTCCACATGGGTACAGGGTTATAATTAGTGGAGTCTACTCGCTGACCTTTGGGGTACACACGACTGAGCTGGTTTCTGTGGTAGCTGAGAGGAATTCGGTCAAGGACAAAAACAGACTCGGGCACATTCATCTTAACTTTTTGAACTCAGTTTAGTTTTTGTAAGATTTTTACAGCACTTCCAACACAATAAGGTCATATAAGTACCCGGTACCGAAGATTAAAGGTGTCACAGGAGAGTAAGAAAAACAAAAAACAAAGGAGGAGAGATAAAGACGATAGTTGTTTGATAGGAAAGAAGGAGCAAATCACACCAGAGCACCTGCCAACAACCCATTTTTGAACTCAAAGGGCAGGTAAATCTGTGTAAGTTGAAGGTATATTGCTTGGTATACTGTAAGGCTCCTACATCTGGCGTTAACAATGTTTGAGAAGTCTCCGGATTTGGATTTGGGAGACATTAAGGTCCAGGGTTACAGGGTTAACAATAATAATAACATCAACAGCAGTCTACAGTAGTAAATAAGCAGATAAGGATGTAATAATATTTCACCATTAGAAATGGAGCCCACAATTTGAGTGACCCAAGAAAAACATTTTTCAGTCGAACATACTATCTATTCAAAGGAAATCCCTCAGAGAAGACATCCACACTTCATCATAAATGTCTGAAGCACCTTATTTATGTCTGGGCAGAAGACACTAAAGTCTCAAACCTTATGGTAAAATGTTGGTCTCAGAAGCACAAACTATTCTTTTTAAAAAAAGGGTGCACATCCTGAAATAATGGACTGGGGTGAGCAAACGGTCCTGAAAACACCACAGTCATGTACAGCCACTGTGAGTGAAGACAACAGATTGGAAAAAAGACTGATCAGAACTCATTCCTTACAATTAGAATTGAAATTGCTTCACATCTAGCAAGGCGATGATAATTCTAAAAACCATGAGACAAGGATACGCAATAAACTGTTTGGCTCTGAAGCTATTCACCCATTTTTCTACTTTTGTTTCTGGAAATGATGACATTTCATAGTACGGACCAGGAATTTCTGAAAATGAAAGAGAAAAAAAGATCATTAGTTCCCGAAAAGGCGAAGAACCCCCCCACAAGCGTAAATTTCTCAAATCTTTAAAAATGCACTTACACGAAAGCATTCGACCTTCTCAAGCACTATTCTTGAGCAACAAAGACCAGAAAAACTTGGAAAATTCTTAAACGAGATGCAAGTCGAAAATCAACTTTTTACCAGACACAAATTTTGTGTTCAAAGATAGGGCACATGAACCAGTGACTGTGGACACTGGCACAAAAGGAAACTGACTGTTCGGTGTAAGATGCTGTCAAGCTGTCGTTTATCAAAACAACATATTGTCACTTCAAAACTATAATTGGTCCAAAGCATACTTAAGTAAAGAGGCACCTTGGTCAAAATAGTTCTGAGGCGATGATATGGTAGAGTCTAACATTAGGCAGTCGAAATACTTTAAGAAAGAGAAGTAAAAAAATTGAAAACCCCCTCTCATTCAGGTCTTTTAACTCCCTCCAAACAACAGTCAGACCACAGCAGCGGGCAGTCATCTCTTTCATGAGTCACAAAACTACCAACTAGAATGCCACTAGTGGAAGTGTTATATAGAAACTTAACGAACATCAAGAACAATGATTCTGAGGCAGAGAGGTTTCTTTTCGAAGTGATACTTAAAAACTATGAATAAACAATCCAGAAATATGGTGCTTTGCTCTCATACCACTACAGCACCTGGTTCTTTTCCCAATTCAAGCAGATAGGGTTGGCATATGACATCGAGTGGGTCTTCATTCTGAATACTTGCCGTGTGCACGCGAAAACATCATACTGTTCAGGCGGAATTCCAAATCAGCTCCTACCCAAGTATGATGAAACTCAGGGCAAGCATAAAAAGCTAATGGAAGTGGAAAAACAGGAGGCCAAGGATGAAAAGAAGAAAAAGAAAAGAGAGTATGCACTATAGAACCAGGCCATGCTTCCATCTGAGAGCAAAATTGTTCGACGCACTTCCCGACTCAGTCCAATCCTTTTAGTTTTAGTAAGAGTTTTACGGCACTTGCAACACAATAAGGTCATATAAGTGCCAAGGTCTGATCCTTTGTTCCTAAGCTCAATACAAACATCCGACAAAAAGCATTTGCTGCTCACCATCAGGATTGAAGGGCACGGCACGGCAGTACACAATGAGGTCAGAAAACTCCCGTGCAATCCTCATGGTACGTTCCAGCATCTTCTGCTCTGATGTCTGTAAAATAGAATCAATAATCCATTGTAAATGTTTTAGGCCTTTGTTCATACAATTAAGATCATGCAGGAGGCGGGACGCTACAACACTGTTGGTCTGGGCCAATATGGGCTGCATCAGACACAATCCAGAAGATGTAGAGATACTTGGCCTAGTAGTAAGGCTACCGGACTGGTAATCGTGAGGTTGCGGGTTCAGGGGTTCGAGCCACGGGCCTGACATTGTGTCCTGGGGAAAGGCACTGTACATAAATTTTCCTTACTTCACCCTGGTGGGAGACAGCCATAGACAGTGAAAAATCTTGTCAGTACGTTAGTGTTTTAGCTCCTATAAATGGCTGCTTGCACTGTATGCTTCCCAGGACGTTGCGGTTGTTTCAGAATGCTCTCAGGTCTGCTGGGGTAATAGTATAGAATGTGAAGCGCATAGAGCTTGCTGTTGAGCGGGGATTTGCGCTATACAACTGCTATCTATTAATATTATTACTTGATAAGGTATATTCTCCATTTGGAAACTAAATTCATGTCTTTTGCAAAGAGAAAAACTTAATCATTACACCAGAGATGCCAGTATGATGAAAAAAGAAGATGGCTGTGTTTGAAAAAAAAAGTTAAAACAACATTCAACAATCTTATACTCTATCTAATTAAAAGGGCACATAATAAAAAATAATAGCCTCCTTGGCCTTCCTGCCATTTCACACAGGCACGGGGACTTACAGCAAAGCCAATATTGCCACCATTAATTGATTTTATAGCTGCAGATAAGTTAATTACACTTGTAAGCATCTTGGAGGATCAAAGAAAAAGGAGTTAAGTTATTTTCTTTTTCAAAGAAATAATGTTCAACTTAGCAGGCAGAAAACTGAATCTTTGACCTTTCAATTAAAAGTTCATCATCTAGACAGCTTGGCAAGGTGTTCAGACAACTCATAAGGCTTCTCCTAGAACACATTCCTCATCTATGTAAAGAAAAACCAATAACTTCCTCTCCACCAAAGGAACGACTGAAAACCAACCATTCACATTTACATCTTATTTCAAAGACAAAATGATAAACAAACATGATATACCCACAAAACAAGTTTACTGTAAGAGAAAAGGACTTACATAGCCAGCTATTATAATTATACAATATACTGTTGAACCTGTCCAAGACAACCATCCACTGTCAAGGAGAAGAGCAGTTGCCTTAGATCAGACAGGTAGTCCTCTTGGACAGGGTCATTATTTTTTTTAGTAGAGGTTTTACAGCGCTCGCAACTGCATAAGGTCATATGAGTGCTAGAAGATTAGAGGTGTTACAAGAGAGTAACAAACATAAAAAAGAAGCAGGGGAGATGAGGACGAAAGATTTTTTATAGGAAAGAAGAAGCAAACACACCAGAGCACCTGTCAACCACCCACGGTGTCATTATTGTACAGAAATAATGCAGGGGGGCGTGGAAAGTGTTACTGGTCAACTCTGGACTACAAATTAATCTTATTTCCTACGTTATTACATTACTTTTACTTACCCTTTGAACAGCGGTGGAGGACGAAATTGAAATCTTCTCAATCCACTCATTCATCTCCTCCTCTGTGTCCACTGCTATTTCAATGGGGGGACTGTTGTTCCGTGGGGCAATGCGGAATGCAAAACGATTGCCTCTTGGAGGGAGTACATCTGGGAAAATAAAGAAGAAAAACCCCAAAAACGTCTTGTTTGTTTTAGTAAAGGTTTTACGGCGCTCACAACTGCATAAGGTAATATGAGCGCCAGAAGATTAGAGGTGTTACAAGAGAGCAACAAACATAAAAAAGGAGGGGAGATAAGGATGATAGATGCTTGATATGAAAGAAGGAGCAAACCACACTAGAGCACCCGCCAACCACCCACAAATGGAGGAGAGATAAGATAAGGACGTTCGACAAATGATGGGAAAGGAGGAGTAACCACATCAGAGCATCGGCCAAACCACAAACTCCCGACAGTCCAGTAAAATGCCAGCCGAGGGCGCTTCCACTGGATGCATGCAAAAAAAATTCACCTTTCCCTCACAGATTAGAAGAGTAGAAAAAGGGGAAAAGTATGCAGGACAAAACATTTCACATTTTGCTACTTTATCTCGCCGATCGGCGATGTTAACCACCCAGTTTCTTTGGATTTTCCATGAGCCTTGTGGCGGCAAAGTGTTAAAGGGACATAACATTATCATTCTGGTGCTAATGCTAATCCTGTCACAGAAAAACAGAGGAAGAAAAAAAAATCCAGAATCCAAGAAAATTCCTCCAACGAGCATCCCTGAAAATGTCTGACTCACCAATGAGACATCCTTGTACATCGATGGCTCCTTCCTGCAGCACACCAAGAGGGGCCGAGTCAGAGGAGTTGTCCGACTGAGTGTCCATCTCCTCCGTGTAATTGGCGGGAAACAAAAGCTGCTTCATCGCACCATAGTCACCACGCCACCTGGTGAGCAAGAAAAACAGTTTGTTTTAGTAAGAGTTTTACGGCACTTGCAACACAATAAGGTCATACAAGAGCTGAAGATTAGAGGTGTTACAAGGGAGAAACAAACATTAAAAAAAGAAGGGGAGATACGGATGATAGATGTTTGATAGTAAAGAAGGAGCAAACCACACCAGAGCACTCGCCAAATACCCACGATCAAGAAAATATTTGTAGACTACAAGAATGGGAAAAAAAACCCAACGATATTCACATAAAAAAAAATTATATGAGTCAAACCCTATGGGGGCCTCAGTACACTACAGTTTAACATAACAATTAAAATGGAGAAAAACCGCTGGGTCCATGTAAAAATAAATTAAGCAAATTTCTTATTCATTAATATTTGACGTTTCACATTTTAAAACAAAGGTATCTCAAAATCACCAAACTATGACTCTACTTTCCCCCTCCCTTTAGTTTTCGTTTGCTACATCCCATTACATGGACCTCTCCATACATAACTGCAGTGTCCTAGTTTGCTTTCTGTAGAGTAAAGAGAAGCTCATTCCAATACTTGTTCTACAATGCAAAGAAAAAGAGGGGCATACAGAAGAGCTCAATGACCCATAATGGAACATCCTGACCACAACAAGCATGCACTCTATTTGCTAGTCTTACAACGAATCATATGGCCTATTAAACAATAGCGTTCCAACTTTAACATCCGGTCAGCTGCGGTTTATTCGAGTAAAAAGAATTACATTCACAGCATAATGGTTATTTAGGACAGGAAAAAGCAAGATAGACACAAAGAAACAGAGGGAAAGAAAAGAAACAGGACCTACCAGAGGCACCACACAACCTCTACCCATTGGCTTTTGTGGCTTAGTTCATTCATAATCTCCAAGTACAAATAACAGTTGAGCTGAATACCTGATTCAAACATCAAAGTAATGAAACAACCCCCCCCCCAAGCCCATCCCTAAACAAACAACCAAAAAGCAAAAACAAAACAAATAACGAGCAAACAACAACAAAATAACCAGCATCCTTGCAGCAGAACAGTCTGTTACTAAGTTAACCTTAGTTTTAGTTTTAGTAGAGGTTTTACAGGGCTTGCAACAGCATAAGGTCATATGAGCATCAGGAGATGAGAGGTGTTATAAGAGAGAAACAAACATAAAAAAGAAGAAGGGGAGAAAAGGATGATAGATGTTTAGTAGAGGTTTTTACGGCACTCGCAACTGCATAAAGTCATATGAGCGCCAAGGGGTGGATGTCAGCAGAGAAGTCCTTACAGGGAATCAGACTTACTCTGCTCACCTCTCTAGCTTCAACAGCACAAAGTCTGCTTCGACTATCAAGGCACCCTGGAAATAGCAGGTCACAAGAGTGTGACAAACATATAAAAGAAGTAGAGGAAAATGACTATAGTAAGGATTAGGAAAGAAAAAGGAGCAGTTCCCTGTTTTAGTTCAGGCACAGTTATGAGCGTGACATTGAAGAATCAGCCCATTTACAATTCTACTGTGCATTAGAACGATAAATGTCCCCCCTTTGGGAATGGCCTAAAGACACTTCAGTCAGTAGCACCGCCCCGGGGGGTGGACGATAGATGTTTGATAGGAAAGAAGCAAACCACACCACACCAGAGCACCCGCCAACCACCCACTCTAAGTTAACGAATGTAAGTTAGAGGACCAAATCTGAAACTTCCATGAGGGTCTGACGACACAAATCCCAAGCCCCAGCTATCCTCAGACTAACCATCCTCCGTCCTGCTTGGTGACGTTGGTGATGATGGAGTCCTTGCAGAAGGAAAGTTCATCGCTGCGATTGGCGCTGTAGTCGTGTAACGCTTTCACTCTCAGCTGTAGGGGGGAAAGTCACACTATGAGAGAGGGTGAGGAGGGGGAAGGAAGAGGGGGGGGGGGACAGACAGAGAGAGAGAGAGAGAGAGAGAGAGAGAGAGAGAGAGAGGGAGAGAGAGAGAGAGAGAGAGAGGGGTGGGGGGTGGGGAGGGGGAGAGAAAGAGTGATATAGAGAGAGTGAGAGTGACAGAGAGAGAGAGAGAGAGAGAGAGAGAGAGAGAGAGAGAGAGAGAGAGAGAGAGAGAGAGAGAGAGAGAGAAACAAGAAAAATGGATTTTAACAAATAAAATGCTTCAAGATAATTTAGTAATTGAACAGATATAAGAGACTCCATTTAATGTTCTTGTGCACGCCTGTAATAAGTTCTAAAACTTTCTGGAGCCCCAAGAGTAGAATAGATCTAATTGCTTGACATATTCATTATCAGGAAGAGGAAATGCTGGCCAACAGAGAGACGAACAGACAGAATTGTTTGGACTCGACAAAGGGATGAGAAACACAACAAAGAGCAGATGTGTGTGTAGCTTTAAGTAGAGGTAAATACAACATAGAGTGAGAACAAGCATATGAAAGAGAAATAAAAAGTGAAATGGAGAGAATAGAAAGAGAGGCAGAAAACATGTTTTAGGGTTAGTAAGGTTTTACAGCGCTCGCAACTGCATAAGGTCATATGAGCGCCAAGGGGTGGATGCCAACAAAGAAGTCCAAACAGAGAATCAGGCTTACTCTGCTCACCTCTCTAGCTTCAACAGCACAAAGTCTGCTTCGACTATCAAGGCACCCCGGAAATAGCAGTCACAAGAGAGTGACAAAATTACAAAAGAAGTCGAGGAAAAATGACGATAATAAGGATGAGGAAAGAAAAAGCAGCAGTTTCCCCTATGTTGTTCTGGCACAGTATGAGCATGACATTGATAAATCAGCTCATTTACAATTCTACTGTGCATAAGAACATGTCGATATCCCCCCTTTGGGAGTGAAAGAATGAAAGACAGAGATATATATATAGAGATATATATATATAGAGAGATATATAGAGAGAATGAGAGAGAGAGATAGAGAGAATGAGATAGAGAGAATGAGAGAGAGAGAGAGACACAGAGAGAGAGAGAGAGAGAGAGAGAGAGAGAGAGAGAGAGAGAGAGAGAGAAAGAGAGAAAAAGGGAGAGAGAGAGAAAGATGGAGGGATCAGGGCTGCTCCCTATATTCCCACCCTTGAATATTGTGTGCATCATACTGTTCACTTTATTGTGCACAAAAATAGCTGCTTAGCTTGCAAGATCTTCCTGGAAAATCTCGATAAGAGGAACAAGCCAGTCTTCAATTCCCATCATGAAAGGTTGGAAAGAATATTTCTACCATTTGGCCACATACCCAATAGCTAGATCCCAGTAGATGGGCTTTGATGAGAAGAGAACAAAATGAAGGGACTCTGGAGAACACAATAACATGCCCCCCCCCCCCCCCCCCCTCATGAGCAATCCAAATACACAGCAAGTTAGCTGAAAGCTTTTACTGGCAATCTTTAACATTTCCCCTTATCTTATTATTTTACAACAGACAGAAGAGGCACGATTAAAATATGAAATTTGGCCATGCTTCAGAGATGAGTAAGTAATGGAGAAAACAGAAAGGGTAGAAATCTTAACACTGCATGGCTCAATCTTTTGATTAAAGAAAAATAAATGTTTCAACAAACGGAACCAGCTGGAGTCAATATGCACGTTGCAGCATCACCAACTGTCATGCACAGCAGCAGCAACAACAAAAGAGGAACAAACATGAGAAGTTGAAAGATCTGTGAGACAAACCATACATTGTTCACAATCTTCATTGAATAAAACCGCTAACCGCTTTTGAGAGAAACAATAGCAGTGATCTCAAACTGATTCATATGGAATGGATTTGGGTCTGAATGTTTAAAACATTAACACTATCCGTACGCCCTGCAGTCATTTTGTACCCCCGCAGTAAATTCTTCACATTTTAGAATACTTCTAGTTCGAAGATCTCTTTGAAACTTTCAGTATTTCTCAAAAAATAAATCTGACAGGCTGTTATGCAAAGCGTATGGATTGGATTAATGACTAATTTCCTCTTGGGAAAGTGGTTGGCACAGAGTTTCCCATGTTGCATGGATACGATAGTAAAACATGACGTACGGATAGGGTTAAGCAGGCCTGCCATGCAAAAGTTTGTTGCATCTTAAAGGAAACCTGTCATGTGCACAAATGTTACATGAAACAACAGATTTCTATTTATAAGTATACAAAACCAGATACAGTTGGTACAATCAGTGCCAATGATGGCACTCTTGTCACATGCAAACTTAAATGCATTATATCTTTTCCAAAATGTTAGAAACAGAAACATATTTTTCCTTATTGCAAGTGGCTTTAATGGCATCAAGAAAGATACTGCAGGTAATGCTGTGGCATCGTAGCAAATAATATACTTTTACAGGGGAAAAAAAAAGGAGCAATAAATAATACAAGATACATTGACAGAGAAAGAATATTTTCAGGGTAAAGCGGTTATGTTTGTCTATGTCTACAAGGCTGCCAGATCTTGGGACAAGCAGGAACACATCCAGGCAAAAGCCACAACAATTCTCCGAGATTTCTGCAATGCAGCCTTTCCTGTGCTTAAGTACACTTACCGATTTTTTCTTCCTCCTAAGAGTACCACGCTAGAACAGTCATGAGTGCACAGGAAACGAAAATCACACAAACATCACCTTTCAATGCAGTTTCAGTAAAAAAAACAAACAACCCCAACAAATCTGACCGTTTCCTACAGTTTCCTTTGTTCATTTACAAGTTACCTATGAGGTTCAGATAAGGATTATGAAATTATTATTGATTCCAAAAATATCTTTACATACAGCTCTTCTTTATGTTTGATGTAAGAAGATATTATATTGATCTTTGATTATCAGATTTAGAAAATGAAGTGAACACAACAGTGTTATATCCTACAAGGGTGACAAAAATATTTTAATGCAGTTTTAGACACGAGAATTTGACATAACACAGTGTTAAATACTTATGGCAAACCTTTTTTAGTTCTTTGTTTTACAAAACAGCAAATGCGCTGAAGAGTCTATTGTAATGGAAAAAAAGTCTGCTGTTTACCTTACTGATAAAGTCGTTGGGGAGATGGTAAATCCCAGGCTCATAAATGTCGCTGTCATCCGGGGCCTAGAACATCAAGCAGGTACCAAGATCAACCAATGAAGCATGCATGCAAGGCGGAGCACGGAGAGGGGGGGGGGGGGGGGTTCACTGGGACTCACTAAAGACTCAAGCTCACAAACTCCCATACAACAATTAGTCATTGTAGGTACAAATGGAGCCTACTCACATGTCTATTTGCTATGGCTTTCATACCGAAAATAAAAAATCCACCGCAATAATCAACAAGCTGAATTCAGCAGTCCAATTTTATTTGTTTTGTTTTGGTTCATCATACTTCCACTGCCATCACAACAACAATAATATGTGAGGCAGTGTGGTGGAATCAGGCTCTCGTCAAAATAATCTAACTGAAGAAATTTTTGTTTTTTGGTTCAACATCTTTCATGGCCTTTAAAGAACTCATTTTTGTGTGGATTTTTCTGAAAAAGGTTGATTAAAGGCACAAAACATGTAAATTTTCAGTTACCACGCACTCTTAAGCTAAGGAAATAACTAATCTTTGGCAGCCATTTTCTCACTAATTTTACCTCTGAAAACAGGCGACCCCCCACCTCCTTCATTGACAAATATCTCGACTTGTATTCAAGATAAATGGATTTATTTTTCATCCACAAAAAGACAAGTGAACAAGCTTTAAGATGCTACCAATAACCCTACATGCCCAAAAATTGACGAGAGCCTGATTCCACCGTGCTGCCTCACATATGAGTATCCAGTGGAGCGTAAAACTCATCCAAAACAAAACACTTTTGAGACATAAACCGATCATTTTAAAGGTGAAGCAAAAGGCCCGATGGTCAGAACAAAATGAATCCAGTATTCAAGGAGCGAACATTTACCAAGTGAAATATAGCCTCAACAAAAAAACCCAGGCAAGAATAATGAAGCCTTGATTAATTTAAGTATGACATCCTAAACTCAGGGCAGAATTAAAGAATCTGTGATTGTTGGCTGAGAACTAGGAACCAGACGGAGTTGTGAACTTGATCCCAGAAAGGTGCCCAGTGTATTTTGTAATGAGTAGGGTATTAGTGGGGTTTACTATAAAGCATCTATATATAAACCTCATCTACTACACATGTTATTCTATTGTCATAAACTTGCACAAAACACAGTGAATACAATAAATATGCACTAGTTACATTACTACACACATGATACAAGGGTAGCACATTTTCATTGTTATTCCAACAGTTCATATTATTATACCAAACAATTTGAAGAATATTGAAGAATGTCGGAAGTAGGTCAGACAGAAAAATATCTGCTTTGTCCAAGCAAAGAAAAAATATTGTCAAAAGAGTAACACACATTCTCCTAAAACTGTAAGTTCTTGAGACAGTGAGATCAGCTCAATCACAACTGTAACAAGGTTTTAGACTGAGTGTAAAGATATTTGGCTCTTTCCACACCAATTGGTCCTAGGAATGCCGAGCAACAGAGAAGGACTATAGCAAGAACTGTCAAGGAGAAGAACACAACAGAATGCATGCCAGATAAGACACCGATACAGACAATAAGGATTGCAAACAGATTGGAAGTTGGTGAATCCAATTCCTAGACAAAATTTTGTCCACTTCTGATTTTCTTCGTCTCGCTCACCATCTTGGACCACACTTTTATATACTTTATTGTCACGAAAGGCGACAAAGTCTGTAGCTTGAAAAGAGAACAAAAAAGTCTGCACCATCACAAAGAGAGGCTGCTCATAATATCCCTAATCTTGTGAAGAAAAACCCTCAACAAGGGTTCCTTCACTTCTGGAACAACTGGCATTTGTCATCTCAGAAGAAGATGTTCCTGCAAGTCATTTGGACTCATAATAATCAAACGTCATGATCACCAAGATGTAGATATTTAACAGAGCAAGTGACAGCATTACAACCAGCCAAAGCCGTGTGGGTCTGGATCATACCCCAGACAGTGTCTGTGAAAGGCCACAGTGTTTGTGGAAGGCCACAGTGTCTGTGGAAGGCCACAGTGTCTGTGGAAGGCCACAGTGTCTGTGAAAGGCCACAGTGTCTGTGAAAAGCCACTTGTGCAAACCCCCAATCCCCATAATAATTTGTCACGACAAATCATAGATAACATGCTTTACTCTGTCAAACATTTAACCTAAAGCCAAAGGGTACACTTATGATTTTTAAAAAAATGTTGCTAAGCTTTCCACATGCAGAAGTATGTGACTGCCAGAGGTGAAATTGTAAAGGACTTTTGTACAATAAAAGAACTGGAAAAAAAAGTTTCTAACCTAAGAACTACAAAGAGGTGGTGCAATAGAAACCATAAAGAATGGGGGCAAGGAGTGAAAACATGTCTTCTGAAGGTGACAACATATCAACAGTAAGAAAAAAAAAAGAGGTGCATTTACCAAGAATCAAAATGCAAATAAGACTGTATAGTAAGAGCATACAGATGCTGGTGAAACTTTTAAAAAAGAAAAATAAAACCAAAGGGTGAGAGGTGGACAGTGAAAGATACTTAAAAAATGAGTGGAGTTTTTTACAATTTACAACATAACAGTTTTCATTCCTTTGACATAAAAAATAAAAATCACAAAAGTGCATGTTTGTTTTGGGGTATAAAACCAGTAAGATTTACGGTGATTTAAAAAAATGTGAATCCCCAGATACTACTCTTGACAAATTTGCCTATCGGGAGCAAATGCCTTTCCTTCAATGTCTATTTTTGTGTATAAGTTAAAAGATTTACAATGGTTTGAAACAGAAAGGGAATTCAAAAATACTTTTCTTGACAAATTCATAACAGGGGCAAATGAAAAAATCTAAAGATAGTCATTGAAGCTTTCAAACTTATGTGATCTTAGCAGTGCAACATGCTTTCCTTTTGTAAAAAAAAAAAAAACAATAAAAAAAAATACCCTCCCCCGCCCCAAGAAAATAAAAGACAACCTACTCATGCCTTCCAGGAATGAACAAAATGAAAACAAATGCTAGTAGCACACTATGCAACACAAAGAGGCTATGATTCTACACGTTCAAATAACACAATATAATGAAACCAGCACAGGCATAAACATAGAAGCACTCAGCACCCAAACTCATCATGCTCGCAGCAGCACGAAAGCAAAGACGATAAATGTCATGCAAACAGAGAGCAGGGCAAACCAGGCTCTGCCCAGTCTCCACCCAGTCTCCATGCAATACGATACCTTAGTGGTGAAATCATTTGGATTTATATATAGGTCAGGAGCTCCATAGATACCCGTATCATCAGGGGCCTACAGAAGTACCATGATAGAAAATGAAAGGAACATGAACATTTGGGTTCGTAATCCCATGATTTGGAGACTTTCAAGGGTCATGTATTGTTCTTTTTGGCACTGTGTGCTTCTGAGAGCTACAACCCCCCCCCCCCAAAAAAAAACCCATGGCAGTTGGGTTCATTATCATAATATTCTGAGAGCTACAAAGGATACGAACAGCTCAATTTATTAACATGTACGTGACTTGGAGAGCAACAAGAAGTAACAGCAACTGGGGTTTGTTGACGTGTGACTTGAGAAGTTATCATGAACAGAAATGCTTCCGTCTAGTTCCACCATCCTGTCAATCCAACATTGGACCAAATATAACAGATACATTCTGTTCTGGGCTGAATATCTCTGACAAAAGATTTTCATTGATCTGAGGCTTGGACAAGCTCATAAAATGAATGGCAAAATGTCACTTCGTCTGCATAACCTTACCTTCTATTTATCAATTGAAGATTCTTTTCTGAACTCACCTTCCTAAGCCAACAAACGGTAAAAATAATACCTTCAACAGAAAAACATTACAAAAACAAAGCAAGACAACAACAGTTTAACCATAAGGAACCTGGTTACAAAACACTACCGTTTCAGGAAGGAAGGTCCTGATGCTCACAAATCAAGCCACTTAAGACTTTTTATTGCACTGATTTTACATGCAGTGCCTGTAGATGCTGCACTTTCTTACACTTATCCTACCAGTACAGTTCACAGTTTTTTATTTAAAAGAAAAGGATGGAGACATATCTCTGTCAAAAACACAGTTGTTTTGAATGCGTCACTGCCATAATTCATACTGAACAGTCATTTCTACAAACGCACAATCCTTTTTCACAACAGGGAAATTTCAACATAATCAATTCTAGAAGTGTTGAAGGGGTATATCAGTTTGTTTGCTACCTTACTGTTACCACTCAATGTGAACTGAAAACTGCATTTATAGCTGTAACACTTCAAGCTGTGCTAACACTAGCAAAGTACAGAGAACATACTTCTCTGGATCAGCCAACATTTTGCCGACCAAAAATAGAACAAATTTTAAGAATCTTCCCCACAGAGTTGGGGTTGGGAACAAACCCTGGGGATCACTTAGACTCCTATTGATAAAGACGATGAGGGGATTTGTCTGCTGTAAAAGAAAAATGAACAAGCTTGCGATGAACACAACACACCTTCAAAAGTTAAGCTACTCAAGTGGAAGCGAACTGAGCACGCATTACACTCAAATCTAGAAGTCTATAATAACAAATATCAGTATGTGGGAAGATGGTTCCCAGGAGCCCCCCCCCCCCCTTATGCAATATCAATCAAGGTCTTTCAAAAGGGGTGTTTAAAACCCCACCCCCCCAAAAAACAACACAAAAAACCCTCAACCGTAAGCAACTTTGAGCAAATCAACATTTTTTTTCAGAGTATAGGGCAACTCTGGACAGATATTCTTAAATTGAGAAAGCAGAACAAAAAGTAGAGGAAGTTTTTAAGTGAGTGTGAGCTTTGGGACCTCAGACTTCCCACAACATTCACTGATGGAGTCGCAAGATGGTTTGAAGATGAAATAAAGGAGAATTTCTTTTTACTGAAAGTTCTAATAGAATATTCCAGATTTCAAAGGACAAATACTCCTAGATGATTAATAAGTCTAGTATACCTTTATTTTGTCTTGAGCAAAACAACAGCGAAGTAGCAGCTCACAACTAACTTCAAAGTAGACAAAGCAAACAAGCCTGTTGACAAGTGCCTAAAGTAAAAATTTGGTCAATATTTTCTCCAAAAAGGCTGAAAAAGCAAGACAGCTATTTCTACCTTTTGAAACTTTGAAATATTTCTTCAGATAAACCAACATTAAATACCCAAAACAGATTTCTCAAGCACAAATATTTTTAAAGAATCTGGTTAAAAAAAAAACCCAGGGATGACTCACAATGTTCAGTCGCTCCACTAAAGCTTGGTTCACTGGTTGCCGAAGTTTCATCTTTTTGTACAGAGGGGAGTGCTCGTAGTGAGATACAAGCTCCACCAAAGACTCAAACTGGGCATTGCCGATGAGGAACAGACGGCCTTCCAATTTGATGCGGCAATGCTTGATCTTCCCCTCAGCCCTGTTGAGGAAAATCATAAACATAGTATACTAATATGGTCACTGTCATGTCCAGACTTATTATTTACATATATGCTGTATATATGACTAGTGGGCCCATATGCCTTACAAGTGACTATTTTTTCTCAATCTACATAGTCTACTAAACATAAGGTACAGAAATCCAGTTGACAAAAAATCGAGAGCATTTTCAGGGAATAGACAAAAAAAGTTTGGGCAATGTCCTCACAACAGACTATCATCTTTCAAAACAAGCATTAAAACATATATGAACTAGTTACATTTGGGCTGAATGTTTTCAAGCGCAAAGTATAGCCACATAATCCATTTCCATTTTAAGCGAATCAAGACCAAGAATGACCCTGATTAGTTATCATGGGCTCCGGCACATACTATGGATCTGCAGCAAAAGTTAAATATATCTCCTCCCCCTGTCTCTAAATGCCAAGAAGATCACAGCCAACTGTTTCCTTTTCCTACAAAAATAGCAGACCCCCTGTGATCTCCACAGCGACCCTAAATGTTGCGCACTAGGTGAAACAGTTTGAAACAGGGGCTAGGCTTTACTTTTACAGGATCTTCAGTATGTTTGGCTTTTGCTAAATTCAGCTCACACGTGGAAATAGGAGACTCAACAAGACGAAAATAAATACACTAGCAGCATTTCATAAAGCTTTCTGTTTACAAAGGCTACTTTGAGAAAAATCCATTCATAGCAACATAATAATACAACTTGAAAAACATTTGAAAACGCTCCAAAAATAAACTTTTTTATCAACAAAAACCAGAATCAAATTAATTTAATTACCAGTATCATACACTGCCTTCATGCTGAAAATATAAAATACAAAGTTAGTAGCCCTATCACCTTATTCTTCCAAGATTTCCACTGTTCAGAGTTGTTGTGAGAATTTTTCAAAGAAATCATATTTTGAGTTCAATTACAGTAACTAAACAGATTGAAATTTGGAGAAAAAAAATGAAAACTCGGTAGAATTCTGAATCCGGCATTAAGAAAACTCATAACTCATCAAATTTAAAGTCTACGTGCATAATATTATTCCTTTCACAAAATCCTTCTGTACGCAATTTTGTAGTCTTAACATAATATAATATGCGATATTTGTTAAGAAATAATTATCCTTAATAGTACTGCACTAAACATTTCAATTTTGACAAAGTAAAGGAGAGATCACCTGAATGAGATTGCGTAAGAGTACTGGTCAGTCCCACTGTGACGGACTAAGAATGCCCCATCATTTGGGATCCTTTTGAGCAACTCCTCTGCAGCTGTGCGACTCATTCCTTCATGATACCATCTGCAGAGAACACAGAGGCAGGATGAAAGTTGAGAAAGATGAACCACTATCAGCAGCAGATGATAAAGGCTGGAAAGGCAATCTTTGGAAAGTAAAATGGACAGTGAACATGCCTCACTGATAACAAAAACTGGAAAGTTGGAGGTAAAGGGCTGCCAAAGCAGGGCTGCCTACCTAAAAGTTCCCATTTCAGGTAAATTCAGGGTCAGTTTCAGGTATTTAGGCCCAAAATCAGGAAGTACAAAGATAAAGGTAAAAAAAATAAAAAATTAACGTCACCCCGTAAACTTAGTTACCATCGAGTGCGGCTCGCTTTTCATGATATTATAAGGTAATTATGTGTTTAAAACTTGTGTGTGTGTGTTTTGAGCACGTGCACAATAAATTCTTTCATACGTCTGATACACGATACCACACCCACGCGGACGTTTGGTGTGTACGAGCCGTTAGGTGGGCAAAAGAGAGTGGGGGGAGGGAAGGGGGAAAGGGGGGGGGGTAAGTTATTGGCTGTGAGTCTTCTGAATTTAGCACAAAAAAACAACAAACCCCCCCTTCCCCTCCCCAAGAAACAGAAAGAACAACAGAACATGTCATAAGCTCTTGATCCTGATTGAGTAACATAGCAGTATCACTTCGCTCTGCTGCACGTCGCAGTTAATACAATGTAGTTTCAAATTTCAACAACTGATCCCTTGCTTGTTTGTTTTTTACATTCTCTCACTGGCCTAGGTTGTCTCGCACTCTGCAGAAGCAGGAAATTTTGAACGACTTGTCAAGCTAATGTTTGCCTTAAGACTATAGTTCACTAAGACCAAATCCTGGCACTGGTGCAATTTTATGCTTTTCCAAGGGGCAAAGTGACCCTGAGCGTCTATAAGGCTCTGTGCACAGAGGACGTGTTGTGTTGACGTAAAGTGTCTGGGACGGATTGTTTTTTCTTCCTTATATTCCAAGAGGATTGGGTTCGGGTAGCCGAATGGCACCTAAAGTTTTAACAATCGGAATCAAGGGTGGTACAATCGTATATTTGTAAAACTGAGAAAAAAATCGTGACAATTCCACATAAATTCGTAATGGTGGACAGCCCTGCATAAACGAAGATGAACAGTGTTGATGAGATGAGATGTGTTTTTTAAAGATTTAGTTATCATTTCATATTCTTCTAGAGTTGTGTACTTCTGCCTTGAAAATTCTCAATTTAAAAAAATCTAGTTCACATACCTCCGAATTGATGAAAACAAATACCTCTCTCTACAAACCCGAATTCATTTCAATTATACTTATGTTAACAGTAAATTCCGGGGACAATACAAGTTCGTTTTGTTTTAGTAGAGGTTTTACGGCGTTCGCAACTGCATAAGGTTATATGGGCGCCAAGGGGTGGATGTCAGCAGAGAAGTCCTTACAGGGAATTAGACTTACTCTGCTCACCTCTAGCTTCAACAGTACAAAGTCTGCTTCGACTATCAAGGCAACCCGGAAATAGTGGGTCACAAGAGTGTGACAAACATACAAAAGAAGTAGAGGAAAAATGACAATAGTAAGGATTAGGAAAGAAAAAGCAGCAGTTCCCTGTTGTAGATCAGGCACAGTTATGAGCGTGACATTGATGAATCAGCCCATTTATAATTCTACTGTGCATGAACGAGAAATGTCCCCCCTTCGGGAATGGCCTAAAGACACTTCAGTCAGAGGCACTGCCCCGGGGGGTACAATACAAGTTCAAGGAGCATTTCCCAGCATTCATCTCATCAGATAAACGTCACTAACATCGGTATCATATCTGTACAAACAGTGCCTTTTTTAAAATTACAAAACCAAAACAAACAGCGAAACAGGAACAATTTCTGTCTGAAAGGAGAAGACCCTGTTTATAGGAAAAGGAAAAAAAACAATACAATAAAAATCATAATTCAACAAATGACTTTTTAGAGTAATGGCTACGTTTTTCACTCTGTGCGCAAAAAAACTATTATTCTCACAATGGGGACATAGTCTTATTGAGTACCTCCATCTTCCTGCCGGATGTACCCACATAATCTGGGTTTGGATTGACGCAGGGCTAATGCAGCCAACCCCAAAACTATCTAAGGTGGGGGGGGGGGGGGGGGGGGGTGTTGGTAAGGGTTTTACGGCGCCTGCAACTGCATAAGGTCATATGAGTGCACATGACACACCAAACAATTTCAATTGGCAGGAAATTTTGAATTTTGTGGGGGTGGCGGCTGAAGCCTACTCTAATCGATTTTTTTAAAAATCAGGATTTTTTGCCCTTGTCCGAGAAGGCTAGGTGTAGATCTTTCAAACCAGAAGATCAGGGGTGTGGATGAAAGACAGCAGTAAGAAGGAGCCAAGGAGTAGCAGTAGAAAGGCTGCAGAAAGAGTCAGAAGCCCAGTGGAGGTGCCAAAGGAGGTGAAGGAGTGGAGGAAGAAAGTGGAGACGTAAGCAGACGACAGAATATTGCAAGAAAGAAGGAAAAAAGGCGAAAGAAGACAATTTTAGAGAAGAAGATTTTTCTGTCGCTACCCGTATTTGAACTAGGGACCTTTGAAAGAGAGGCAAACACCTTAACCTCTAGGCCACGAGAGCCCTCCTATCTAAGGTGTGTCCATGCTTTAAATATTCCATCCTTGGTGAGGAAGATACAAAAACAACACATGAGAAGATACAAAAACAACATACGGTTTTCCTTCATGGCTCTGAGGCTGTGGTACAGGATCCCGTAGCACTTGGGTGAAGTCTGAGCTCCGCAGAGGAAACTGCCGATAGTGCATGATCAGGTGGTACAAGCTGTCAAAGGTCACTGCATCAATCAGGTAGAACTTGACCTGGCCTCGCTCCTGCCGTGACTTGATGCGGCAATGGTTCACATGGTTCTGACGCCTGTAACAGAAAAAGTGAAAAATGATGCTTTGAAGGGTTGTGCAGGATTCATTGAAACAACAGTCACGTTCCACGAGGAACACAAAACGACGGCATTTGCCCTTAAAAAATGTAATTGGAGCTAATGAAACTAGAGGTTCTACCCACCACCGATAGAATTCATCGACATAGCGTCAGATTTAGAAAAAAGGACATTGACATAAAAATAGAAAAAAAAAGAAACAAGTACAGTCGAAATTGTCCATGACGGCCACCCACTGTTGATGAGAAAAGTGACAATCTTGTTTTAGTAAGTGTTTTACGGCACTCGCAACACAATAAAGTCATATAAGTGCCGAAGATTAGAGGTGTTACAAGAGAGTAACAAACACAAAAAAAGAAGGAAGGGAGATAAAGACCATAGATGTTTGATAGGAAAGAAGAAGCAAACCACACCACAGCACCCGCCAACCACCCACAGTGACAGTCTGAGACAGGACTGATCAAAATGAAGAAATCAGCAAACCATTCCCTTCTGAGGTCCCAACTAGAGGAGGTTGCTGGCTTAGGACTGCCATGAGGCTCATTAAAATAACTGTAACCGACTGGTCATCTTTGGTGAACCGTGGGAGGGACAGGAAACCTCCCCTCCACAACGTGCTGTTCAGTGATTGGTGGATTCACAGGACAGGCTAACAATAACAACAGGTGAACGGAATATGATGGTTCATCTTCAGCATCAGGGACCGATATGTCATTTTTGACAACATGTTGGGTGATGAGAGATTTGCGTAGCAATCTTGGGACAGGTTTTTTGGTTGATAAAATATAGTTGCCAAGTTGGACAAGTTATCATGTTAGGCAGAGCCATTATATTGAAAAATATGTAAGGGGGAAAATGAAAAGTGGCTATTTGTCAAGGTGGTTGTCTCATACAAGTAGCTGTCTGGGTAGGTCCCATTGTACAGACATACACAAAAGTCAATGGCACAGTTCTGGATCAGTCAATTGAACAGTGTGTACGGTGTAAAAAAATTTTACATTTATTTGCACAGGGTGCAAAACAAGGAGAATGTATATTTCAACAAATAGATTCTTGAACATCAGACAGGAAAGTATAGAAAGTTGCTAAACCTCTATCTCTTACTTATTTCACTATAACAGACCTAATACACTGGACAGTAAAGCAAAAATCAACTCAGGACCAAAGACAGATCATTGATAACACTTTAAGATTTGGAGATACAATTCGAAAAGGAAGAACAAAAAAAAGGTATATATTAGGTCTTGAACTCACCAAAAGGACAGTGAGAAATCTCCCACAAAAGTGTCGCTCTCACGCACTAAGAAGGTCCCGTTGCCCAGATAGCTGTAGTGCCTCAACAACTCCTCCGCCTTCCTCCTGCCACCTTCCAAGCGGCCGTGGAACCATTTCTCGCTGAAGTGAAGCTCATCCACAGGTCTCCCCTGTAGTGGAAATGAGAGGGACACAGAGGTACATGAGAGATGTAAGTTAGAATGAGAAAACTAGCAGACTGGCAAACCAGTGCCATCAAAATAAAATTTGTCAACACTTTGCCATCATATTTTGGGGAAAATCCAAAGAAACTGGGTGATAAACATAGCCAATTGGCGAGATAAGGCGGTAAAGTGTTAATTATCTTGTGACATAGAAGATATGCTCAATTTTGCCTATAACAAACTTGAATAGTACAAGTTTGAATGACGCCTAACTCTGAAGCCATGCTCAAGTCTACAGGGAAGGTCTGAGGCGGCTTGAGAACTGATGAGTACCAGGTTCAAAAATCTGTACGCCAGCAGGGTCCTTAACACATATAGCTCAGCTTCTGATCCAGCAGAAATGTTCAGTTTGAATGTACGTAAAGTTCTGCTGGAGCAGTACTTGTAATAGGTTACAACTCATTTTTCCCCTGCTAATGGCAATCCCGCAGGACAGATCCAGATGAGTTAAGACTGGTCACAGTTTGTCTCTAGTCTCTACCAGTCTACCAGCAGTCAAGATGGCAATCGGCGCCATCTTGTTATACCAGCAGCCACATTGTATTGCCAACTCATTGCTCGTCTCAAGGTAGGCGGTACATCGTGGTTTGACAGCATATCGCTTTGCTTGCAAGTGCTGTATGTTTGAAGTTATCAGGTCAATGTTAGGCGGAAAACCTTAGCAAAAATAAAAATACAAAGAAAAAGCATACATAGTGGGATACTTTACCTCAATGTCTTCTTCTTCAACTTCATCATCTTGGTCAGGGCTGGGGTTTTCTTCTGTGTAGTACAGTTTGCTCCCGTTCAGGACAAAGAAGTGAGGATGCCAGGTCTGTCAGACGAGATAAAGGGTTTCAGGAATTCATGTACCCAACAACAACAAAGCATATAATGGCATAGTAAAACTTGTAATGTGGACGTATTATCAGGGGTGTCCTCACCAAGCCGTTACGGCATCAGACTTACACTTGTATAAAGAATGGTTAAAACTTCCTGGCTCCTGAACAGGATGTTGCATCCATGGAAAATATACTTTACCCTGATTTTTTTTTAAAAGCTCTGGTCTTTTGTATACTGAATATGCCCATTGCACGCGAATAGAAGATGGAACCCCTTTGGTAATATGAAAATTCTTGTGCAGATTTCCAAAAGTAGTCTTTTCTTTGGTCCTTTCTTCTCCTGCCTCCTTTGCTCAAACCAAGAGCTCAGTCCAACAAGCAGCCTATTTAAGCTGAGTGTGTCCTTGAACTCATGCAAGACTAAAAAATTGCCGGTAGCCACAAAGTGAGCTGCATTCACTTCTTTCTCTTAATTTTCACAAAAATATTTAACTCTCTCCCTACGTTGTGTTTTACTATCGTATCCATACAATTTGGGAAACTCTGTGCCACCACTTTCCAAAGAGGAAATTTACTTGTTAATCCGATCCATTTGCTTTGCATAGTAGTGTGTCAAAATGATTTTTTGAGAAATACTGAAAGTTTCAAAGAAATCTTCGCACTAGAAGTATTCTAAAATGTAAAGAATACAACCCGTGGGGTACAAAATGACCCCAGGGCGCACGGAGAAGGTTAAGGAAGACACAGATGAGGTCAACTCACATGATCATACTGGTCCTCCAGGTAGAGAATTCCATTCCTGATTGATGTGCTCAGATCTACATCCATTGTACCTGTGAAGACAAAGTATTCCAGACACTCAAAAACAAACAATTATACTCTTTTTGTTAGAAAGTGTTTAACGGCACTTGCAACACAATAAGGTCATATTAGTGCCGAAGATAAGAGGTGTTACAAGAGAGTAACAAACACAAAAAATGAAGTAGGGGAGATAAAGACAATAGATGTTTGATAGGAAAGAAGAAGCAAACCACACCAGAGAACCCGCCAACCACCCACCAATTATACTCGGATCAGAATGCAAAGAGGAAAGCTTCAAAGCCTAGGTTTCATGTTTAAGCTTATTTTTTGGGATCCAGCCTATAGAAAAGGAACTGAAAGACGAAAGACATTTAGGGAAAAATACGTTAAAGGTGAAGTTTGAGATTTAATTTAAATAATTCTGAGGAAATAATTTCATAAACATAATAATGATAAAATTCTAACCATCTGAACTGAGAATCTTTTTATATACGAGGCCCTAATGGAAAAATTAAAAAACAAATTTTATGGAAAGAAAAAGGAGCTGCTTAATTGTTACCAAGACTGCTGGATTTGTTTTCGAGGCCAGGGAAAGTCTTCAGGAGCAGCACATAAAATGGTTTTTCTCCTTAGACCAAGGGACAAACCAGGCACTATTATTTACTTTGAAGCTAAAATCTTATCTTGTGACGGACGAATTTCCAGTAACGGAAGACAATCTAGTAATATCTGTTCTTATGCATGTTATGGAAATAAGGGTAAGCCCAGGGCTTTTACAGGCAACTATCATGCCAGAACTCGTCTGCTGGGACATTTCAGAAACCTACTTTCAGCACTTTTCAAGGCCCCCGAGCAACTGTTGAGTTCCTGTGTGCTGTCAGCATCGTTAACAGTTTATGATGCCACAGCGCCAGAACAAAGAGAGAGATAGAGGCACCTCTTTGAACTTTAAGGCAGGAATAATAAATCCAGAAATCCAGTACTCACCACTGTCTTCAGTGGAGACTGTGTACCGCCACTCATTTCCATCCACCCATTCGGGGAGCTTCTTGTGCTGGTGACAACAAAACAAAAACAAAGATTGTGACACTTAGAACGCCAAAGAATTACATTAAATCCCTTCCCTCCCCAAAGGGTAAAAGTGCAAGCTAATATTTCAATGTCGACACAATAAGATGTTGCCGAAGGACAGCAGTAATATATTGAAAAACACAAGAATAATAATTGCCTCAAAAGATTTTTTCACTCTTGCATTTTGTTTATTGAATAATACAGGGCATTCTGAATGCATGTAAAACTTTTTACTTTTGTTCTAGAAGAGGTTTTACTGCGCTCGCAACTGCATTAGGTCATATGAGCACCCATGTAAAACTGTGAATGCATCCTTACCAGAAACAACAGAACAGATCACTCAGTGTTTTCTTATCAATTATTCGAGCTTCCAAGAAGACAGACCCTGTTTTTTTTTCTCTGAAGTAATAACAAATATTCGATTTTTTTGTACACGAAACACAACCAAAATGACGATTCCAAATGCTTCTCCTATCAAAAGCTGGGTAGTGCTACTCTTTGATTTATTCACTACACAGGCAGAGCAATGCCAAAAGACTGCAATGTCGCAATTATTTATTCACAGTGGGTCACCTTTCATATCTATAAGAGAAAACTCAACCCTGCATCAAGAACTACATTTTCCAAAGAACACTGGTATTTTTTTGTTTTTGGTGCGCTTACCTTGAGGATGATCTTGTACTTGAGGTCCTGAGGTGAAGGCATCACAGTGGCATCTTTGTTGATGGGTTCCACAAGTAGCTTGTCTGTGTAGCAACATAAAATACATTAATTGAAAGGAATAATTCAGTCTTGCAATTAAATATTTAAACATATTCAAGAAATTTATACACACACCAAAAAACCCCAACCCCAAACCAACTTTGAGATGATCAAACCAAAAGTACCTACTCCAATATTCAACTGAAATATTACACGTCATCTGGAAAAATTACTACTTTGTTTCTTAACTCTTCCAGCAAACATCTCGACAAAATACTTTTTTGTAATTACCATCCACAAAGTCAAACTGGTAAAAAAAAATGTGTGTACACTATGATGCAAGCAGTTCACGACACGTTGGTCAGGAAAAAAACAACTCCCCACTACAGAAAAATAAAATATTTACAAATTCCATACCCTTTTTTATCCCAATACGAGACACACATGTAAAACTGTCATTGGATTTTTAGTCTTAGTAAGTGTTTTACGGCACTTGCAACACAATAAGGTCATATAAGTACCAAAGAGGTGTTACAAGAGAGTAACAAACACAAAAAAGAAGAAGACATAAGGACGATAGACGTTTGATAGGAAATAAGAAGCAGCTTTGGATGTTATGTAAATGCTGTACTGGAGAGGAACATTTTTAAATAACCAAAAGAGATGTAAGCAAGCAGTCACCTCCAAATGTATCTCTGAAGGCAATGGCCATGTTTCTCTGCTGACCTAGACTGCAATGATTCTCAATGGAAAGGATAAGAGGGTACCTGAAATAAGCAACAACAAAAAATCATCAAGATATGAGAAACAACAGAACAGCCTCCACAGGACAAGACTAGAAAGATCTCGAGATGGCAACTGAAAGGTCTGGTACATGCAGGGTATTAACAATAATTGATATGAGTTCTTCATATTCAGATCTTTTGATTTAGTAGAGGAATTACAGCGCTCGCAACTGCATAAGGTCATATGAGCGCCAGAAGATTAGATGGGTTACAAGAGAGTAACAAACATAGAAAAGAAGAACAAGAGATAAGGTCGATAGATGTTAGATAGGAAAGAAGCAGCAAACCACACCAGAGCACCCGTCAACCACCCATATTCAGATCTTTGAAAGGAATTCTAAAGGGAACAAAAATGCAACCACAAAAGGCACTGAAGACACAAGGCGCAAGAGGATGAATTGTTGCTTTGGACTGCCCAATACAATTACAACAAGATTCTGTCATGACGCAGGTTTAGAACTATCATAGCACTATAGAAAGAAACAGAGCAGACCACACCAGTGTGTCCACCAACCACTTACTGCAGCGTCACAGAAGATAAGAAGTAAAGAAGGAAGGAAGAACAGAAGGAGATCACATTGAGGAGGGAAACGTACATGTGCTGGACGATGAATCACAGAAGAAAAAAAAAATCACAAACACACACAAACATTCTCTACCGGAAGATGCACATAAGTCATATGTCAATAATAAAACAACTACTGTCAATAATAATAATAATATTAGTAATAATAATAATAATGACAATACTAAGATAATCCACATATGGATATCCGGGTCATTGCTTTGCAGCTATCGGCATCGAGTCTGCCTGCAATACATAGAAAGACAGAGAATAAAATGGTTTGGCCACCTTTTACGTATGGCACCCGGCCAACCAGCCTCGAGAGCCTAGAACACCAAGCACTCAGGCTATGAAGGAAGAGGAAGGTCACGCAAAAGGTGGATCGAGGGTATCAAGGAAACCCTGAGAAAACATATCATCACAACCGAAAGAGCTCCAGAGCTGGCCTACCATAGAAAACTGCATCTCTCCTCGACGTTTAATGGAAACAGAGGATGAAAAAGTAAAAGTAAGTAAGTGCTTAGCAGTACAAGCTGACATTGTTACTAAAAAATCCCAGAACTCACTCAGAGGCCACCCAGGCATGGTCATTGATGGTCTTCAGAACATCCAGGAACTTGATCTTGGAAGTCAGTGTGTGGCCGTGGTAGATGTTTGGGTACCCATCTGGCCCATCCCAGCAGTCCACTGGGGACACATTCATTCAGGGTTGAGCAAGTTAGTTTTTTTAGTTTTAGTAGAGGTTTTACGGCGCTCGCAACTGGATAAGGTCATATGAGCTCCAGAAGATTAGAAGTGTTACAAGAGTGTAACAAACATAAAAAAGAAGAAGGGGAGAAAAGGACGATAGATGTTTGATTGGAAAGAAGAAGAAAACCACACCAGAGGGTTGAGTAATAATCATTGTAAAGCGCATAGAGTACGCTACAGAGTATGAATATAAAAGCGATTATTATTATGCTGTAAGGGAATATATCGATGGTGTAATGCTCCAACGTGTAATCTGTTCCTTGAACATTTTTCAACAGACAAAAGAAAAGGTATTCTTATTCAGTCTACCCTTTTTAAATACTATCAAAAGTGTATGTCGACTTCTGATTTTTACTGAAGTTCTACAGAAATTACCTCAGCAATGGTTCTGAACCACAAAAAAGTTGACTTATTTCTTTCAAATGCACTGTTTGAGCATAGCACCATCAACATGAATGGTTAAGGGGCATAATAAACTAAACCTCACTTTCAGGTCGTTTATGTTTATGTGAGTAAAGAAAGAGAAGCACACTGACACATCTTTTTTTTGGGGGGGGGGGGGGGGGGGGGGTGATTTTTTAGATATAATGGTGATGATGAGTGATGATGTGGGATTGCGTTTAAGTAAAATTAGCGATAGTCCTATCTTCCTCTGCTCCAATGAGTCACGAGGGATGTCACTGACACAACATCAGTCATTAAGCACAGGGACAGAGTAAGACGACAGAAATAACCCCAAAACAAAACTCATTTTTTATCCTAGCATTTCAAAGAATGAACTTGTCAAGAAACAGTGGAGTCAAAAAACATTCAAAAGTCCAACCACTATCTGGCAGAAGACATTCTTGAAATCTTAACCTAATTAACCCATCCTGCTACATACAGTAAGTAAAAAGATGACTCATTCCACCCATCAGTCAACATTCTTATACCTCTTAGCTCCATCACAGACATTGTGTTCATCAAAAAATTTCCTTTGCCATAAGTGTGACTGATTGGAATATTTGAAAGTTACATTTTGGGAACTCTGAAAGGAAAACACAGTTAAAGTCAGAAGAAACCAGAATGTTGTTGTTGTTGTTTTCAAATCCCTTTAGCTGCGAGCATTTCGCTCTTGGCAGCGCAATGCCTCCCTCAAGAAACCAAAATAAGACTACAAAAATAATTATCTGGCATTTCAAAATATATAAACAATGAAAAATTGAAAACAATCGAAAGAACAAAACAAAGAAACACAGTCAACAATTCTGTGACATTATACAGATTTTCAAGAGCAGCATCCAAGTCTGAGGTCTACGGTACACAAAGAAAAAACAAAAACAAAACAAAACAACAAAAAACAAACAAACAAGAGCTCTTACACTCAAGGCATCTGCAGCCCATGTGCAAAGCCCGGGCGTAGGCTTCAGTGGAAGAACTGCTGTACAGCTGGTCACCGGTTAAGTATCTGTACAAACAGAGGGTGAAGGTATTGTGAACTTAAGCTCCCAGAAACAAACAGAGGCAATTATGACCAAAAAGATATATATACCCGTGTTCTCCACGCATTAGACATTAAAAACACTTGATCTGAAAATGACATAGCCCATTCGTAAAAATATATATGTGTCACGACGTGGTGGAATCAGGCGCTCATCAATTTTTGGGTATGTGGAGTTATTGGTATTATCTGAAAGCTATTTCATTTGCCATGCTTCCAATGAAATATCCATCTATCTTGAAAAGAATTCAAAATATTTTCGACTGACGGAGGTAAGGTCGCTTGGTCTCAGAGACCAAATTAGCGAGAAAATGGCCGCCAAAGTTTGGTAACTCCAAGAGCTAAAGAGCCCTTGAAAATGGAAAAGTGACATATTTTGTGTCTTTAATGAATGTTTTTCTGTAAAAGTTACATGGAAATGTCTTTTTATATGGACATAAAAAGGCTTGAGCAAAAAAAAAAAAAATTGATAATTTCTGAACCTGCGGAAAAATGCCTTCTCCAATTTCGTTATTTTGATGTGCGCCTCATTTCACCACACTGCCTAAAAAATGTACAGCTTTAAAATGGTGATGTATCATTCACAAACAAAAGCTAATGATACCCTTCCCAGATTCTGAAAATTTCAAGTGATTCACTGTCCTGCTTTATATATTACTAGCTGGGTACCCTGTTCGATTAACGAACTTAATCGTCAAGTCATTGTTGGTTAGGTGCGCTCAGCATGTGAACGGAAGTCTTGAAAATGTCTTGAACATTGCATTCAATTGCATTGAAATGCTAGAACTCTGTGTGGACAAAACCAAGAATTTTGGAAAAATCGGGGAAAGCAGTTTGCGTGGATTTTTTAAAGTTAGGTCCCAGCCACATGGAAGCTGTGGACGCCTATAAAGTTTCAAAGGTGTGGGTTAGGTTATAAAGGAGGAGTTTGTGCACAAAGCCTCCCAAGTCCACTTTTATACATATAATATCAAAATAAACAAAAAAGCAGTAACCACGTACGTGTTATGAGAGGAAGCAATCCAGTAAGACGACAGGGGCTGGGTCATGTCTTGCGTAATTGCTTCATACTTGGAGTCATACAGAGGATTATGCTGGGAGAAGAGGTAATCTTCAAACTGGGGACGCAGAAATGAAAACATGGTGAAAATCAGAGGTGAAATAAATATCTTTAATGTACAGCTCTGTACAAGATTTTGTTTGTTTCAGTAGAGGTTTTACTGCGCTCACAACTGCATAAGGTCACATATGAGTGCCAAGGGGTGGATGTCAACAGACAAGTCTTTACAGGGTATCAGGCTTACAGTCTACAGACATAAGGAGGGAGAGTGATCATTCATTGAAAGGCAAGTTCAGGTGCATGCTTTTTCAAGAGGATATTTCTGTTTTGTTCGCTTTTTGGGGGGGTTCTATTCTGAAGCCACAAAATGTTTTCTTTAACTCTGTTCAAACAGACTCTCCACAGCCTAGCCTGAACAGAAGACTCCATTACACGTTTTTTTGTAGAATTTAGAAAATTCAACCATATAAATCTTCGTTACCATCACTAAAAGTGGGTTCGTAGAGATCATGCTGTACAATTGCTATTTCTCTAACCAAGTCTCATGATAGGTAGGTAAGTGTTCTACAGCGCTCGCAACTGCATAAGGTCATATGAGCGCGCAGGACACATTAAACATTTTCAGCTGGTAGGAAATTTTTTATTTTGCCCGGGTGGCGGCCGAAGCCTACCCTTATCGATTTTGGACTCCCAAGGGATCTTTAATGAGCGCAACTTGCACATGGGACCTACGAGACTTTTTGCCCTCATCCGAGAAGGCTTGGTGTAGATCTTTCTGAAAGACAGCAGTAAGAAGGCGCCAGGGAGTAGCAGACAGTAGAAAGACTGCAGAAAGAGTCAGGAGCCCAGAGGAGGGGGCAAAGAAGACGAAGGGGTGGGGACAGAAAGTGGAGGCGAAAGAAGACGACAAAACATTGCTAAAGAGCCAAAAAGGAGGTGAAAAGAGACAATTTAAAGAAGAAAAATTTCCGTCGCTATCCAGATTCGAACCCGGAACCTACTGAATGAAAGGGGAACACCTTAACCTCCAGGCCATGAGAGCTCCCAGTCTCATGATATCATGAGAATATCTCCTTGATTGAACTAAACTAATAATAAATTTCATTAACACTTTCCACCCATGCAGTGCGCAGAGTGCGCAACACTTATCCCCATGGACCAGGATACAGGTGCGGAACACGCTATATCACGCTGTGTGGAAAAGGGATGGCTTCTTACCGTCGCCGATCGGCGTCCCGTGGGGGCAAAGTGTTAAACATTGGGAAAACCATAACTTACGGTTAAATTTTTTTTATAACAAGAAGGAGCTGTCCATAGAATTCACAATAAATTGAAACATACATGCACCAGCAATATTCGAAGTAAAAACAATCAAGACGTGTAAAAGAATACCACTACTTTGGAAGTAAAAATTTGATGGCAAAAGTAGGGTGGCAAATTTTTACAAAATGTTCTAAATGCCCTCCAAAAATTAATAACTGGATGTTCTTCATTTCATGCTTTAATTATGGAAAAAATCATCCAAAATCAAAATAACACACCAATACAAACTACAAATCTCCCTACTAACCTCTTGCTGAGTGAAGAAAAGCCCCCCGGCAGCTCGCACTTGATCGTCCAGGAACTCCAGCATTATTCTTCTGACATAGCCCAGGTCACTGGCTCTGGGGTCCTGAGGAATATGTAAGAAAACAATGCTGATGAAACAAATATCTGTGTTGAATACACATGAATGTGTGGCATTGTTGATGTGTTGTGACATCTCCATGGTTTTGTTTTTGTTTAAGTAAGCGTTTTACGGCACTTGCAACACAATAAGGTCATATAAGTGCCGAAGACTAGAGGTGTTATAAGAGAGTAACAAACACAAAAAAGAAGGAAGGGAGATAAAGATGACAGATGTTTGATAGAAAAGATGGAGCAAACCACACCGGAAGTTCCACCAACCACCCACCTCCATAGTTTATGAGAGACCATGGATGAGCATGCTTGACCATTGTCCTTCTCTGACCTCTTGCTAACTTTGTAAATGCCATCAAAATAGAACCAAAAAAAAAAATCCACTCCAATCTTCCAGAAGAGTACAGGGACATTAATATCTTTTCTCAAGATCATAAATGGTGAACAGCAAGAAAATATGACATTATAATAGTTTTATAACTGGCAGAGAGATATGTTCGAAAGAAAGAAAAATAAAGAGAAGCACGTGGACAGTCATTCAGTGCACGGGAAAAGCAGGATTGAGAGACAGAAACAATCGAGTGTAAGAAAATGAATTGAACTTATCTGTGGTCCACTCCTTACCCCTACACTGCCAACACAAATGAATAGCCATAAAAATAGATGGACAGAAAAATGTACATTCTATAGATTAAATAAAAATAAAAACAAATAACTTTTTCATTCACCTTATCTTTTTCAAATGAGTATCCATGTGAGCAAATAGAATGTTCCCTAATACATTGGACATATATAATAATTTAAAAGAAGAAGCAATTGTGACATTAAAAATTCTATGCCTGTACAATTCATATTTTATCTAGATACATCAACTGCTGTGAATCTGTTGCCATCAGCCTAAAAAAAAAAATACTACAAAAGCAATGATTTATTTTCAACAGGTGCCGTACAAAAATTTGCATCAGCTCAATCTTCAAACAAGTTTTCAGTCATGATGGCTGATAACATTAAGAATCTAAGTTGCAAACCTTTTGCTCTTCCACCAGAAACTGTTGAAACATCTCTGCTCTCATGAGCCTGGGAGAAACAAAAGGCTGTATCAGAATGATGTTGACATTTGATTGTCAGTCTTTCACAAATAACCCAAACACTCTTTCAGTTCTTTTTGCCCATTTCAAGAAATATTTTTTACAATTATGGATCATTCAGAGTCACTAATGCAAATGTAAAAGAAACAAAAACAATAATTTTCCTTAAAATTAACAATATCATTAGGATAAGCAGAAAAGTCATGAAACTTGATTTTTCTAATAAAAAAGAAACAGAGTAATGAATCAAGAATTTACATCACCATCCAGCTTGGCAAAGCCAGAACCATTAACTTCTGAATTTGCTACGGTTCTCAGTGAATTTTGAGACACAGAACGAGCAAAATCTTTCCAAAAAAAAAAAAAAAAAAAGAAAAAAAAGGAAAAAAAGAAAAAAAAAGAAAAGAAAAGAAAAAGACCCTATGACTATGACTAAGGGCTTGCTTGCATAATCTTGTAGCTCCTCACTGTTAATAATAATTGAACAGCTTTCCTAATGACATCATGTTAAAGATACTTTTCTCACATTTGAGGCAATAACCTCAACAGTTTCACGTCAGTGTGACCTGTTAGGATTCAATTGGTGGTGGGATGAATTACTCTTGACAAAAGATGTTCATGAATTATATACAAATTAAAAAAAATACTATCCCCCGAGTTTATCGTAACAAGTAAGATTTCAATGACCAAACTTTAATGTTTTGCTGTAGTAAAGAAATTGTTTTCTTTTTGTTTTCCCTTAAAAGTTTTACGACACTTGCAACACAATTAGGTCATATAAGTGCCGAAGATTAGAGGTGTTACAAGGGAGTAACAAACACAAAGAAGGAGGGAAGATGACAGATCTTTGAAAGTATCAGTTAAACATTACCTGTCCTCCCATGTTTGCTCAAAGTACTTGTCAAAGTTTTCATCAAGAACCTACAGCAAATTGGAAAGAAAAGAAAAAAAGTATACAGTATACAGTATGGAAATCAGAACATAACAATAAGTTGTTAGTATAAGATAAATTTTGAAAATAATAATAAAATTTGTCATTTCACTCCAAATGTCACAGAGTGTTGCAAACATAGCATTTGAATTGGGAACAGATTTGTGTTTCTTGTCATTTCACTCCAAATGTCACAGAGTGTTGCAAACATAGCATTTGAATTGGGAACAGATTTGTGTTTCTTTAATAATAATAATAATAATAATAATAATAATAATAATAATAATAATAATAGCCCGCTAATCCATGTCTGATAACGACCAATACATTTGCAGAGGAGAATATTTCTCCAGTGAAATTGAAGAATTAACAGAAATAAAGGTTAAGATGATGACTTATGGCTTCTGCTGTGGCTGATGAGACCAATCCTGGCAGAGAAAAGTTTGCCACATTTTGAAAATTAAAAGATCCACATCCACTTGTGAATTTGCGCAGCTTGTGAGCTTCTCTCTTGGTTTAAAAAAAAAAGCATATCACCAACAAGTGTCTTTCTGGAAGATTTGTAATCAAATAAAACCCCTTTGCTGAATTCAAACATGACTTGAAACTCAAAATAAAGATTGAAGGTTAAGTTTAAAAAACCCATTTATTTGACGAAATTAATAGAAATTCATTTGGAACTCAACACTGTCGCATGGAAATTAAAGTACTTGAAACCTTTGTTTGTAATCATGAAGTAAAAATAGTTGAATTCAAGTTCTTTACCCCATCACACCCCCATGAATGATAATTTGCGTTCCAGTAATCTTCGAATCTCAACTCTTTTCTTCCCAGCCATACTGAACATTTTACACACACGTAATAAATGTGAGAAGCCTCTTTAACCAAGAAAAAAAAGCATAGACACTAGAAGAATATAGTCAGTTAGTTCAGTGGAATTTCATCAGAATTGATAGTGAAATTAGTAATCAAGCAATACTTACCGACTGCACATGAATAAGTTTGTGATAAAGGGCAGCAAACTGCTCATAGTTAATTTCTCCTTTCCCGTCAGTGTCAAATTCCTGTATTGGAAAAAATATAAAAATATGGAACTCTTCATAAACACAAATTAAAAGATTCTTTTAGCAATACAGTAACAATTATAATAAACGGATCATAAACCACACTATTACTTTTTATAATAAAAAGCTGCAACACAGTGATACTAAGAGTAGCAATGAAAACAAGCTTAAATGAAAGAGGAGTAAATTCTAAGAGCTGTGGTTTTTAGATTTTAAAAATCCATTGGTAAATTAAAAAATCATTGGGATTTTTTGTTGCAAAATTTTGGGGGATTTCATAAATACAGTAGTCTCAGCCTAAGATCCCACCGCTTACGATCCCGGTTCACTTAAGATCCCACTGTTTTAAGAGAACAGAATTTTTACTTTACAAAACTCAGCCCTAAGATCCCGCTCTGATTCACTCTGAAGGTCTACATTCGGCTAAGATCCCGCATTTCAGATAATAATTTACGGAATAAAAATCTGGGCCGGCACAGCCGATCAACTGAAAGGGAAAAGTTGAGATCAATGAACTGCCAGCCGTGTCAAAGATCAGCCACTCTCGTGAATGTGATCACACATAAGCGTTGTAAAACTCAATGAAATCGTATGTACAATGTTTGCCCCAGACGGGATCACACTGATGTGAGAATTGACAGACGCATTTGTTTTTCCCAAACATCGCACCCGCATTTGAGCTCTCCACCTAAACTCACATCGACTCCCTCCAGGCGGGATCACATTGAACTGTGAACTCTTCCCTGACCATTGCAGAAGTTTTCTCTATTCCTGAACTTGCGAGACAGACTGAATTTTATTTGGTGTGGTCACAACGTAATGGTGCATAATGACAAAGGTGGGGGAAATCGGTCAAAGATGGAAAGCTATAAAATCATAAATTTTCGACAGGTACAGGGGAGGGGCAACGGGATAAGCATAGATCTTGAGATTTACGATTGGGTAATAGGCAATGAGCACAAAAATTGTCAACACAGTGGTAGAATGCAAAAGTACAAAAACAACCAACATACCTGGAAACGCTCTCTTAATTTGTTGATAGACATCTTGAAATTTATTCTTGGCAGCCAGGCTTTCATATTTTTTAAAGTTACTCTGAAAGAAAAAAATTAAAAAAAAAAAAGACTTCAGAACAGTGAACAGTATCAAGTATATTCACATAGTAAATATTCACAATACGAGCATTAAAAAAAATATGAGGTCCAAAAGCATACACCCCGTATTACACACACGGTATACAGTCAGGATCACGTCCAATGTAGTGGAAGTAATGCAGAATAGCATTTCACAGATTTCTGTTTTAGTAAGTGTTTTTTTTAAAGTAAGAGTTTTACGGCACTTGCAACTCAATAAGGTCATATAAGTGCCGAAGATTAGAGGTGTTACAAGAGAGTAACAAACACAAAAAAGAAGGAGGGGAGATAAAGACGATAGATGTTTCATAGGAAAGAAGAAGCAAACCACACCAGAGCACCCGCTAACCACCCAGTTAGTAAATGTTTATGGTACTTGCAACACAATAAGGTCACATAAGTGCCACAGATTAGAGGTGTTACAAGAGAGTAACTTAACAAACACAAAAAAGAAGGAGAGATAATGACAATAGATCTTTGAAAGAAAAGGAGAAGCAAACCACACTAGAGCACCCGCCAACCACCCACATTTCACAGATTAAATCAATTTCATACAAATAGCAACAAATCATAAAGACACTATATTTGATCTCTGCTCAGTTTTTTAATTCATGCATGTTGAGCTGCCTTCATATGCACGACTATAAAAAAACAACAAGCCGATTTTAGAGTCAAAGTATAACAATCCCGTCCCCCCCCCCCCGAGTTTTATACTCAACGGTGTATTATAGGCAAATATACGGTATATATTGCAGTGAGTCAACAAAAGTTAAGTTTTCAACAAAAATATCACAACACATACACATATTATATATATATGACAAAACGCAGCAAACACCACTTTTGAAGTTACTTAGTTAGGAATATATCAATAATTCAGTTTGATGAAACTGTTAAAAAGGTACAAACTTACACATAAGATCCAATCTTTTCCATGAGGTAGAATTCTTTCCTGAGCCATCTGAAATGCACAAAAAAGATGGAAGACTTACCATTTGAAAAAAAGACATTACCCTACCTATACAATAAATGTGAGTAAAAAATAAACCTCCTTCATATTCAGTACACAAAACTTGAGAAGGGGTACAGTTGAAGAGACTGAAACCTGGAGGTCAAAAAGAAGCAAAGCATTGATATGTGAGAGAGAGAGAGGGAGAGAGAGAGAGAGAGAGAGAGAGAGAGAGAGAGAGAGAGAGAGAGAGAGAAGAGAGAGAGAGAGAGAGAGAGAGAGAGAGAGAGAGCGAGAGAGAGAGAGAGAGCGAGAGAGAGAGAGAGAGAGCGAGAGAGAGAGAGAGAGAGAAAAAGAGGATTACTATAGGAGCTGTGCGCTTCATATGTTCTTTGTATTATTGTGCAGCGCATTGAGCACTTCTTTGTGGAAAAACGCTATATAAATGAAATTTATTAGTATTATTATGATTAAAGGTAAATAACAGAAATCATTTCTTCGATGCAACAAAGCCGAAAAGAAACTAATTAACAGAAATCTCTTCAACAATCAGTTGCACCCATGAACAAGCATGGCAAAACTATTTACTTTATTACCTTTCAAGCTGAAGCTGATAGCATGCTTCTTTTGTTTCCCTGACAAGGTAGTCCAGACCCTTGCTCCAATGGTTGAACTCGTCATGGTCATTGGCTGGAACAGACATAACATGTTATCAAGGAAAAAGGAATATTAGTCAGAAAAAAGTTGAAAACAGACGGAAATAACAGGATGCTATGGCCATAAGTCATAATATCTCTGAACACCCCCCCCCCCTCCTCCCGAACATTTTTCTGCATTCCAAAATATATCCAAATCGATAAATTTGACAGCAGTGCGGGCTCTAAAATCATTTGAATACTTTACTTTACTTTACTTTTCCGATCCAGCGGCCATTTGGGTTCTAGCCCTTCGGTTTGGAAAATCATTTGAATAAAAACTTCGGACAACACTCTCTTCACCACCCACAGCCTTCTGATATGCAATATACCTATATATAATGGATGCAAAAGATGTAAAAAAATTATAAGAATAGAAAGCAAAAACACAAAATGAAGTTAAAACTTACCAACAACTGAAAGGGATTTCAGCTTGAAGTCAGTGCCATAATAAACAGTGAAGCTGTTGCGAGCATCCACCTTTTTAGCTTCATCAGGCCACTTGTCAAAGTCCTTTGAATTCTTCCCACAGCGAACTTCTTTGACATCTCTGAGGTTTGCTGATTGGGAGTACATTTAGACAAGTAATAATATTGATAACATAGCTATTACAATGAAGATCAATGCATTAAATTTGGGCATTGCATTTTTCTCATTTTCTTGAAAATCAAACAATACACATATAAAGAAAGCATTTTCACTGAAACAAAAATCAAAGTTACTGCAAGTGTTTAAAAAAGAGATGGCCGGATGGCACAACATGGTGGGACCATGGAAAACAATATCAATCTGCAACACAATACTGGAATCAAAAGATAGGCTCAGCTCCAAAGTTTTTGTAAAACGTAAAAAAACTGCCCTTCAGCATTAAATCAAGGCCTCAGTAGTATTCAAATACAAGACATCCAACTCTTTGTGAATATACACAATAAGCAGTAACCCTCTGACTTCATATTGACCAGAAACACACAAGAAGCTATAGTGCAATTTTCCTCAATATTATAATGTTATCATTTATAAGACTGTAAAAGGCACTAATGTACACTGTAGAGGTAGTAAAATGCAAAGGATTACTGTTCCGTCAAACACTCTATTCAGTGGCAAAGACTTTCAAATAAAGAAGAGAAAGCAAAGACATACAATAAATAACAACCATTCTTACCTATTCCTTCTGGTCTCCCAGCTTGACTCTTGATCCACATCAGCTGCCGACTTTCCAACTTAATTTTCAGAGTTCTTCGCTCGGGGCGCTTTCTGTAGAAAAATATTGTGGTGACTAGGCCCATTTCAAGGATCCGCATTACTTCTACCATGTCTGGGGTTGGAGGTCCCCCATTCACCATAAGAGCCGCCATTTTCTTTCACTTGTAGCCTGAGGATAGAGAAAAGAAAAAAGTGAACACATCACTTGCTTTGAGTCAAGTGTTTGAAGGGTAGGAAGTGTGTGGTTAACCATTACGTTTTAAAAATCGGGAGGGGGTTGTTCAGGAGGGGTTTGCTCCCTTGTATTTTCCCACAATTTGATGTTTGGCTATTTTATTAGGGTTGAAATTTCCTTCAAAACTTGCTTTCTAGTAACATTTTTAGTGGCCAGGTGTGTTCAAGTCAAAGATAATATAGGTTTGAACTCTATGAAGCACACATCTGTGTGTCGTCTGTGTGCCCGAGTGAAAATAAACATTTAATTTAACCCTTCCCGCCCCAGCCTTTTTTGCGCACTCCCTAACCCTAGTCCCAGCCAATACAAGTAGTATTTTAGAAAAAGAGGCATGGATTCTAAAAAGTGAAGCAGTATCTTTGTAATGAAGTTTAGAATAACATCTAACAATGTGTAACGGTAAATTAACAAATACTATGAAAATTTAAGTTTTTATTAATTAGGTTCGCTAATTTTAAAAAATGCGCAAATTCGGTAACCCCCCCCCCCCCCCCTTGAATATAATGTAGGTACAAGCCCCCCCCCAAACTGAGAATATACACTCTTGGGATGGAGGGAGGTAAAAGCACTGCTGAAAATCATGCGCATGAGGCGGGAAGGGTTTTTAATCCAATGCATGCAAAGCAGTCACTGAGGAGAACACAACCCATGGTATCATGTTTTGGAGGCCATCCCTTTCGTAGAGACCCCCAAGGCTGAACAGCAACAGGTTATAAAAGAAGATTACTTCATAATCTTTAACAGTCTGCTGGGTGCACTAATCATACAAACGGAGAGCTAGAGAACGACAACTAAATGCCAATGGCAGATATTTATAGTAACAGCCATCTTGTTTGACTAGTTTGACCTCGCAAGGGGGATGCCCGCCGCGGCATTTTATCGTGATTCTGAAAAATAGTGATAATTTGATAACTGGTCATTTCATCACACGGTCTTCTCGTCACACCCCAATTACGGGAGACGAAATGACTTCGCTTAATAAATATATCTCTCCAAATTTGTTATTTATGCTAGTAGAGTTATGGAGGATCAGCCTAAAGCTTTTTTTTTTTAAGTTTAAATAATTTTTTTACGTAAATTAAATCTTTGTGTAAACTGTTCCATAGCTGAAAAATAGCTTTTTAAATAACATTGTCAATAGGCCTACATATAAATGAACGATGTAGCTGATCAGGTAGGCACGACGACTCGCACAGCCCCCCCCCCCCCCCCCCCCCCCTGTCCTTCCACACACATCCCCAATCCTCCCCCAAAAATCGTGATTTGCGATTGCCATGAGAATGCGCGTTTGAGGTTCGCAAGTGTGCTACGAAATGACCATCTTCATTCAACCTTGTGGATTTGTGGTGTGACGAGATGACTGTGACGTCTTGACTGCACCGGTGTGACAGAATGACTGTGTGATGAAATGACTGGTATTCGATGATTTTGCATAGCACGCGGTTTGCACTGGCAGTTTCCAAGCTCCTTCCCCTTATAAATCTAGATCTAGTTCTACTCCATTTTTGCAGTTCAGCGCTCTATTGAGTCCAATCTCTTGTAAAAGTGCTTAATTTCTTGTGCTTACAAAACTTTAAAAGAAACGATCTGGATCAAAGCGGTCGATCATTTGCTCTGCGTCGTTGAACTGATGCTGTACACTACGTTCTGAGAAGAAAAAAATAGTAAGAGCAGGCCTATATCAATTTGGATACGAAAGCTAGTTCAAACAAAGGGTAAATTTTTACTATGCATCCACACACAGATGTACTGATTTGAGGGCTAAACTGCCATCATTTTCGCTGCAAAACATGTATGGCCACTAAAACCCTTGCAAATCAATTGTTTTCAAGTAAATAGCAATCTTTGATGTTTTGGCAATTAGGCAGGGGCCATGCATTTCACTATGATTTGATGTTTTGGCAATTAGGATAGATATTTAGGCTACTTGAAAACAATTGATTTGCAAGAGTCATAGTGTCATAGTGGCCATACGTGTGTTCAGCAGCAAAAAGTACGGCAGTTTAGCCCTCAAATCAGTACAACTGTGTGTGGGTGCGTAAATAAAAATTTACCAATGATTTATTTGCAAAGTGACTATTTCTCCAAATGCTCAGGAAAATAAACCTGATCTCTACTATCTATTTCTCCGAATGGTTCCCGTTTTCGAGATTTTTTCGTTATTTGCGAGAGTACAGCGTCATCTTTCATTCATTCTGCGAGGACTGGGAGGAAGCATTTTTTGCATCGAATTCAATTTCTAGAGCTAGAAATTTTTAATTATCAGAAGATTAAGATACTTTTATTCTGATTGGGACAACGTTTCCGGACCATAACTTCATTTGAAAATACCTTCATAAGGTACGGCAAGAAAACAAGACTGCTCGACAATGGCAGTTTGCATTTAGTCACCCCTAAAGCAAAGACTAACCCCCCCACCCCCATGTTCACACCTTACACACACATGCGGGCCACTCCATTGTCATAATGGCCATTTAACCAAAAAATCTCGAGAATGGAAACCATTTGGAGAAATAGAGTAGTTAAAGTTTATTTTCCAGAGCGTTCGGAGAAATACAGTCGGCCTTTATAAATGGTAGCGTCAATTGCCACCGAGTGACGCGGTGGCAATTGACAAAAATTGACTTTTTGTCAAATGCCACCGAGTGAAGCGGTGTAAAGTCTCAAAACAACACTATCTTTAGCAATACATAATGTGTGTCTAATGGGTCAATTTGTTCTCAACTAATTTCACTGGACGAGCATCTAGTCTAGAGCTACGGTACCAACTTGGCGTGTTTTCAATTAGACGTAGGCCTAGATCTAGGCTAGCCTTAGCCTACACTTTGGTGTAGAACCAACACAGGCAATTCTAGAAGTAGAAGGTCACAAACGCACACAATTTAAACTCAAGCAGAAATTCACGTTATATCGGGGAACATAAATTGGGGGACGGGGGTCAGGAAAAGACACACACACACACACATATACACACACACATATACACACACACACAAACACATACACACAGAGGGTCAGAGAGGCGAACGCACAACACCGAGCACTCGAGCACAATGCTAGATCTACCCACCAATGCAAAAGAGCTCCAATTTACTCGGTGGCAATTGACAAAAAGTCAATTTTTGTTAATTGCCACCGCGTCACTCGGTGGCAATTGACACTGCTTTATAAATACACACGTAATACCTACCTAGTAACTAGATCTAGTCTAGATGTAGCTAGATCTAGATCTAGATCTAATCTAGATCTAATCTAGATCTAGACATTCTAGATAGAGATCTAGATCTAGATCTAGATGTGTAGATCACAAAAGATTAGTTTAGTTTAATACAAAATATGATTACATAGAGACAAGAAAAAGACCAAGATATTCGTTACATCAAAAATTTGTAAAATCCGCACATCCACAGTGGAATTATTGACTGACCCCCTAAAAAAACAATGAGGGTAGGGGGAACCAGACTTGACCTACCTGAATTTCATGCAAAGAGCTGTTGCAGCAGTAATCTTGTAACACAAAAAAAAAAAAAAACGAACATAAACAAGTTCACTTTCCGGTAATCAAGGCACACAATGCAGCTGCTAAATGGAGAATAAGGTCATCAAATGTTGACATAACTGCGAATCAGAGTGCCCACAATCATAAGAAGAAGGACTTGTTCAAGAAATCCAAACCATGCTTTTTCAGTTTCTGCCGAGCTCCACTCCACACACACCACAGCGGTAGCAGTAGACTCTCTAGTTCGTTAGATCTACGTGAAGTCAAGACATTAAACACCGTCACTGGCACTTTACACACCAATCACAAACTCATATTTCAAATAGAAGAGTAATGCAAGACCTCAGGTTGCAAAATTTCAAAGCAAAGACCAAACTTCAGACTTTCTTTTCGAGTTTATTAACTCATTACATATTGTAAACAAAAAAGTAGTAGCAACGCACAAGTGTCACTGACAGCAGCCTGAGTTTAGTTTCCGGGTACAGGATGTGAAATCACAAGGGGAGTAATCGCTGGGTGTACCTCGTTCGGTCAACAGAGGCTTCGTGCTAATGATTGCACAGGTGGTCAAAAATAAAAGAATCAAACATCATTGTGCAAGCCTACAAAGAGAGCTGCACAAGCTGAAGAGAGGCATATTGAGGGTTTATAGATTTGGCTAAAGGTCTAGCATAAATATCCTTCAAACCATAACGATAAAAATATAAAAATAAAATCATATAGGCCTACATCAAAATCAGAGGCATAATAATAATATAGATTCTAGATCTAGATGCAATATCATATATTAGTGTTATTAATCTGTACTCTACAGCACATTCTAATTCTGCAGAAAACCCCCCAGCGCATTCTTTTTATTAGCGACAAGCTTTCCTGAAAAGAGACAATATACTGATTCTGATTGATCACTTCCTTGGTGTATTTACCCACAGCTGCTACATCAGCAACAATAATTTTACAATGAAAGCAAGTACATGTATAGACAATTGGGCGCACACGAGTAAAGGCTATCAGACAGAAAATAAAAAAGGTTTCACTGATTTTTACCTCGATCAAAAGAATAGCTACACAATCATTGTATTCTACTTCTTTTCTTGGAATGGGCAGTACTTTTATCACCTAAGACTGTGAATAGGCCTTCATTACGGTCCCCAGCGGAAATAAAGTGACGTTTCAAGGCAAACTGATCGCAGAGGGCACGTAGCGGAACATAGTGCATTTTTCGACTCTCATCCAGATGAGTAATGTCCCTTTAATTAGTACACTTTCACAACACAGCGGAGGCAAGGCAAGACCAGGTCAACGAAGAAAAATTTCTGTAGATTCTAGATTCATCGTCCAGTTTTTCTGGAGTGTGATAATCTAAGGTAAAGCAGAAATCCATAACTGTTATTTTCACATTTTTGGTACTCTTACAGTATTCTAGATATTGTTTCGGTTATCGAAAGGGGCTTATCTGTGCAGACTTAGAAGTTCAATATTAGATGCTCTAGACTCTAGAAATCAACACATGATAACATAAAAACTTTCTTGATTCTTGGCTGTCGGTAGGTCTACATGACAATTCATCATCATTGTCGACGCTCTTTCGGTGGCTGGAACTTCGTTAACTTATATATTTAAAAAATAACAGGACTGACGAAAATAAAACAAAACCTATCATAACATTGTATGTTGACATAATGTGATGGGCCTTGAACAAATTCTTGTAGTGAAATTTATTATATGGGGTTTCTACCTGAACACATTATTGCGCAATCTGAAACATTGACAACACATCCTTTAGTAGGCTAGTTGGCAAGGTTCTCTATCTCATGGATTACTACGTTGAATCTCACACAAAAGTCTTGATATTTGTGAGGTTATAACAGCACAGCACTTAGCTTTCGGTTGCCATAGAGAGACTGTGGTAAATTTTTACATTCTCCCGCACACAGATGCACTGCTTTGGGGGTCAAACTGCAGTAGGCCACTGACTACTGTTTGCTGCAGATCACACATAAAGCCACTAAAACCATTACAAATCAAGTATTTTCAGGAAAATATTAAATTATGGGTTAAAACAAGGGCAGGGGGGCATTTTCTTTAGGTAGTGTCAATTGCCACCGAGTGACGAGGTGGCAATTGACAAAAATTGACTTTTTGTCAATTGCCACAGAGTAAATTGGAGCTCTTTTGTGTTTGTGGGTAGATCTAGCTTATTGTGTGCGAGTGCTCGGTGTTGTGCGTTCGCCTCTGTGTGTGTGTGTGTGTGTGTGTGTGTCTTTTCCTGACCCCCGTCCCCCGATTTATGTTCCCCGATATAACGTGAATTTCTGCTTGAGTTTACGTGTGCGTTTGTGACCTTCTAGGCCTACTTCTAGAATTGCCTGTGTTGGTTCTACACCAAAGTGTAGGTTAAGGCTAGCCTAGATCTAGTCTAGATCTAGATACGTCTCATTGAAAACACGCCAAATTGGTCCCGTAGCTCTAGACTAGATGCTCTTCCAATGAAATAAGTTGAGAACAAATTGACCCATTGGACACACATTTGTATAATGCTAAAGATAGTGTTGTTTTCAGACTTGACACCGCTTCACTCGGTGGCAATTGACAAAAGTCAATTTTTGTCAATTGCCACCGCGTCACTTGGTGGCAATTGACGCTACCTTTTCTTTGAGGAATATATGATAATCTGATTGAAGACTACATTTTTTTTTTCAAATAACTTGGATTATTATTTACAATCATAATAAGGATAATTCACAAGAGTGCACGTTTCAGTTCCCTCACATTTTTTTCGTATGAAAATCCAGACTGAAGTCCCCCCCACCAGGGCAGTGCTACTGACTAAAGTTGTCTTTAGGTCATTCCCAAAGAAGGGATATATTAACATTTTCTTATGCACAGTAGAATTGTAATTGGGCTGATTTATCAATGTCATTCTCATTCTGTGCCAGAAAACATAGGGGGAACTGCTGCTTTTTCTTTCCTTATCCTTGCAATCATCATTTTTCCTATTCACTTCTTTTGTATGTTTGTCACTCTCTTGTGAACTGCTATTTCCGGGGTGCCTTGATAGTCGAAGCAGACTTTGTGCTGTTGAGGCTAAAGAGGTGAGCAGAGTAAGCTTGATTCCTCGTTTTAACTTCTCTGTTGACATCCACCCTTGGTGCTCATATGACCTTATGCAGTTATGAGCGCCGTAAAACCTTACTAAAACCAAAACTAAACAAGACTGAACTCGTGATTTCATTGTATTGCATAAAAATACTTTCATCTTTGTATGTTTTTCATATTTCAGATGGGGGACATTGTCAAATGTGGTTATGTCAAGAGATATAGCAGTAAGTGGAATGAATAATGATGTTTCCATTTTTTAAATATATTCTCATTGTAGAATAGTATTGTATTATTACATTTGCAATTTTCAATTTGGATATATAATAGGGAACCAAGTTGTTTCAATTTTGCCTACAGACCAGCACACTGTTGGGTGCTTCCCAGCAGAAAGGTAGAGGTAACCAACAAAATGTCTTTCTCGAGTTGGAATTGAACTTGGGTCTTTTTGCAGCGTATAGTCGAACCTGCCCGGATGGCCACCTCTATAAGACGGCCACCTGTACAAACGGACACTTTCCATTTCCCCCCTTGCGTTTTTTCTATATAATTTAACTGTGTAAAATGGGCACCTGTCCAACGCGGCCGCGGCCACCATAATTTAATTCAGTACCCCTATCACACTAAGCAATAACACCTGTCTTAGACGGTCATCATGGTGACTCCATTATGTTTTGTCATAAATTGTGTTTTGGCCCCTGGCGTTGTGGGCGAGCCGTCATAATTCAATCACCTGTCATTGTTGTTAGGTAGTCCCTCCAACCGATCATGTTGCGTAGGCCCCTCCCACTGTTGACCAATAGCTATCAATTTTTAGCTGCTTGTGAGGTAAGCGTGTGATCCCTCATAACCCATAAGCCCCGCCCAGAACTCATGAGGGGTCACTGTTTACCCAGTCTGTAACAAAGTAACAAAGGACGTCAACATGAACTTGTTACAGAAGTGTCGCTCGTTCTCCAAGTGGTGGCGACCCATGTGTTTGTTTTAACATGGCACTCGGTCTTCCTTGTTTGATACATTTCGTTTTATTGTCACTCTTGAGCAAAATCAGAGACAAAATAAAAATTACAAACGAAATACAAATCAACAACACCAACAAAGACAACTTAATGGGGCTACTTTCGATTGGGGTCTCAGATGGGAATGGTTTGTTTTCTTTATCTTGATCAGTCCTGCCTAAGACGGCCACCTGTCTCATACGGCCACTTTTCTCCTTGACAAGGGTGGCCGTCTTACACAGGTTTGACAGTACTTGCTCTGGACACATGCCAGGAGAAAGATGGGAGGAACTCTAATCTTTGGCCCTTCACGGGAGTAGCACTTATATGTCTTCTACCTACACAATACAGGGCTTATCCAAAACACCACAGACATTGTATTGACTTTGTGCAAACTTATAGACTGCTTCTGAGTTGGGTCTTTTTTTTCATTTCCATTTGGTCAAATGCTAAGTTGTGTTTTGCGTGTTTATGTATCTATTTTTGAGCTTCCATTGTATTCTTGATGCCCGGGTTTTGGAGGGAAAGGGAGGCTCTAATATGTACAGTTGTAGAAGTAAGTGTTGGTATAAGGGATGATTCACAGTCTTGTTAAGTTTGTTTTCCAATGTGCATGTATATGGGCTTCTGTCTGTTGCGGTAAAAATCCAACTGATTATACAGTGGTGAAAGGTCTTTGCCTGTTGTTTCAGGGGAAGGTAGTCAATGGTTTAGTTCTGTTTAATAGTGGCCAGGCATTTGAAAATTATTCACCTTTTCCTACCTGTGATTGTCCTGTCAGTCCTATCCATATGTGGGTGGTTGGCGGGTGCTCTTGTGTGGTTTGCTTCTTCTTTCCTATCAAACGTCTATCTTCTTTATCTCCCCTCCTTATTTTTTGTGTTTGTTACTCTCTTGTAGCACCTCTAATCTTCAGCACTTATATGACCGTATTGTGTTGCAAGTGCCAAAATACACTTCCTAAAACTTTTTAAAATCTGTATGTCATTGTCATGTTATGATTTTGAGTGCTTACCATCTCTTTTCTTAGTTTTGTTAGGCCTATGTATAACAGTTTTGCATAGATATTTTGTGAGTCTTCTTGACTTCTTTTTTTTTCTCTGTTTCTCAGAAAGTATACTAAATGGCGGCTGGAACAATTCGTTCCTTCAGCTTCACAGAGACTCTACCCTCAATGTTTACAAAAAGCAAGGAGATTCAAAAGTACAAGGTTCCATTTTTGTAAAGGTAAGAAGTTGGAACTGATATTATTAAATATTTCTCTTGCTTTCATTGAGTGGAAATATGATTTGGTAGCGCATATGTGTGTGTAATGATCAGGCTTTTGACCTTGCCTGTTATAGATGTGTGTTTGATTCGCAGTTTGGGGTAAATTTTTATCGTCTTTCTTGCTTCCTGCCAGGATTTTAGTGGCATCTTATACCGCCAAGATTAGCACTGATAGAAGAGACAAAGTCGAAGCAGCGTGTCTTGTTAATCATCTAAATTATATTAACTGGGATGCAACATGTTTACATTTATTTTGTTGGCTTGAGGTTGTCCCCACTGCAGGAAAGCTCATGCACTGAACTCCTGTAGGTGAAGCCATGGGCCTTCCTTTTCTCTAGCTAGACATTCGCGTGAAACTCAAACAAGATCTGGGGGCCCTCGTGGCCTAGAGGTTAAGGTGTTGGCCTCTCATTCAAAGGTCCCGGATTCGAATCCTGGTCACAACCGAAAAATTTTCTCTTCTAAAATTGTCTCCTTTCACCTCCTTTCCTGCTCTCTAGCAATATTCTGTCGTCTGCTTTTGTCTCCTCCTTCTGTCCCCATCCCCTCACCTCCTTTGCCCCCTCCTCAGGGCTCCTGACTCTTTCTGCAGCCTTTCTGTTTCTGCTGCTATTCCTTGGCTCCTTCTTACTGCTGTCTTTCAGCCACACCCCTGATCTTTTGGTAGGAAAGATCTACACCTAGCCTTCTCGGA